TTTTTTTTTTTTGAGGGGGGAAAATCATCCAATGACTTCTCCCGCCCGGGTGAGGCGGGAGGGAGTGTCAGACTCTTACTGACTAAAAACCACCCCGTTCCTACTCCTGCACTTCGAGCCGGAGCCCCGGCAACCCGTTAAGTCTTCCGCGGCTCCGTATCGACATCAGCCCTGTTAGGCCCCATCTGTGGTGGTCTGATGGCTCCTTGAGGCGCGCGCGGAACGCGACGCGCCGTACGCTCGGGCCTGGTTCTGGTCGGGCGGCGAGTCACCTCTCGCTTCCGGCTCTGGTTCAGACCATGGTACGGAGCGAGGGGAACTGGGATGCCGTCTCCTCCTTCTGCAAAGCAGTCATGCTAGTTAAGGAGGAGGCGGAGCGCGTGAGGGAACGAACCTCCTCACGACCCGGCCGTCGCGAGAGACACTCAGAGTATAATAAGTTATTATACTCTTTCTTATTTAAACATATTGTCTCAATTTTATATAATTATAGAAATGTTAATTACATTTAAATGTAGCAACTTAGACAACATATTCAATTAAATCAACAATTTTGCGGAAGGCAATATGTATTAGAACTCTCAAAAAGTTATAAAGTAACATATTTCTTACCTACAATTTTGGCAAATAAATTATTTCGGATTTCTGAAGGTATTTTCTGTTTTATCAACGTTCTTGGTTCAAGTATGTAATAAAATTACTAATCACAAGTCCAAATTTCCAATATTTTGGAAAATATTTTTAAAGTTTAAACCCTTTAATTTGTGAAGTGAAATAAAAGTTATTTTATTCTTCGAACTGCAGTGTTTCCTTTAAGAAGAAAACTTACCATATCAAAATCTAACATTTTAACTTTTATCAAATTACAAGTTAGCCAACTGCAGCAATAAGTTTTAAAATGGTTTAAAACGACCGGTGGGTCGTGTGTACCAAACCGTTATATATCTATGAGGCTTCGGCTCGACGTGCAGTAAGAGTCTGGAACTCTCAACCCTACCGCCTCACCTTAGCGGGAGTGTGGTAGTCACTCGATGATTTTCCCCCCTTAAAAAAACCTATCCACTGTGCAATGTAAACAATCCTTATTTTATCAAATCGTTTATTTTGTAGTTTATTTTAATTCTGGCAGATAAAATATAAACGGTAATACAAGAACTACCCGTCATGGCCATGTTAAAGTGAAAACATAATCTGAATTTGATCCACAGACTTATAAGGAGAAGCAGACCGAACATTAGCTAAAATTTGTGAAGCCAAAAAATACAAGCGCAAAATAGCTTAAACGGGGCTGGACTAAGGTCGGATTTAGAAACAAAGTATATTATAAGGTACCTAGATAGACCTACATAGAGATACGCGTGTTTCTGGGATAAATAGTCAATATTTATAAATATTGAATAAATATCCAATGTTACTATAACTTTTATGCACAAATATACTACCTTAAATGTATGAAAATGCTATGTTTATATAATTCCGAAACTAGGTATTTTCATTTTGATGAAGAGAAAGAGGTAAGTAGGAATCGTAATAATCGACGTTCCATAGTCTCTGCCTACCTCCATCTATGGGAGAGGCGTGAGGTTATGTTCAAAATATTTTCTTATAAAACGAGATTGATACAGTTGTAGATAAAAATATATCAATATGGTGACACGGAAAAACTGTCTTCATGTCAAAATTGATCTATGTGTGTAGCAACACTGCTACACATATAGTACTTTTTTCTCATTCTTCACACTTTTACACTTATTCTCATACCTGAGGCCTTAGTGCGACTTTCTTTTAACTCGTACTAAGCTCTCTGTAGCCATACGGCTAAGAATGAGACGCTATTATGAAGTTGGTGCTTGACAGAACAAGAACAAAGACTGATGGATGGATGGATATACGTATAACTTTTTTTTAAGGGGGATAATCATCGAGTGACTTCCCTCGCCTGTGTGAGGCAGAAGGAAGTATCAGACTCTTCTAAAAAGCACCCCATTCCTACTCCTGCACTTCGAGCCAGAGCCTCGGTAACCCGTTAGGTTCTCCGCGGCGCAGCATATGCGTATAACTAGAAATTATTAATAATATTAATGTTCGGTTTACATTTACTATTGTAAGTCTGTAATGTAAACGCAACAAACGCATTTTTATATTTTTTTCATTCTTTTATAAATATGCAATGTATGAAATTATAAATGTGCATAATTTTATAGATCTTTTTCTGTTATAAAATGATAACAAAGTCAAGTAGTAACAATGAATACTATCATATCTTGATCATATATTATAAAAAAAATATATAAATTGAAAAAAAAAAGTGTTATTTAAAAACTAATTACGTTAGTAGATTTAACAAATATCTGTACCAAAAAGAATATCGACTAAGACCTGTAGTAAAGTAATCGATACGACAAAACTCGATTCTTCAATCGCACTACATATGTAATATATTTATCTGTATGTGTCTATGTATGTCTCAATACGGGAAAGTTGTAAATAATTTTCATTAAATTTTTGACGAAGCTCCTCAATTAGAAGCCTAAGCTAAATAAAAAGTGACCTGATGATTACAAAGTGAGTTCTGAAAGTGATGGGAAACCGTAAATGGTGTGCCTTATGAAACAAAAAACTATCATTGCGCACGATCCCCAAACGCCATTTTGAAGCGAAATTTTGTATGTAAGTGCCAAGTATTTCGCAATATTTTCAATCTTCACCCTTGCTGAGGGGGTGCGTTTGATAATTTTTGGTACTAGTGAATGTGAAACACACCTACGAACGTGCCAGTATGTGATCAAGTGCATTGACGGATGGTCAGAATCAGTGGTTGCATCGAGGTGGGTTGCGGCGCCGTTTATCTGGAGCTCGCATTAATTAAATTATTAGTGGTATATTGAACTGACAAATTGTTAGCCAACGATGTTTTCAGTAGTCATCAAAGTGTGCAATGTTTCTGTGATATTAGGACAAAAGTGGTGACAACAGAATAGTGTATTTCGGCGTGGCGAGTGTTATCGGTGGCGTTTCCGACTGTTGCAGATAGCGGGTGGTGCGGAGGATGGCCCGACCCAACGGGAGCGCTCTCAATAACTGACGGACGCTGCCGGCTTCCAGCTGGCGCAAGCAGTATGTTATATATACTTTATTTTTCATCAATTGTACATGACAAAATACATAACTTGACATTGATTTTTCAACAAATCACTTCAGCACAAAATCCCTTTTTTACTGTTCAATGGGCTAAATGACAGCATACTGTGATATTCACAACAATCTGAAATTCCCTTGGATTTTCACATTTGGCACTACAGAGTCATGACTATTATTTCTTGACATCTGCACTATGATATAAGTTTTGAAGTCTTTTATAGGTATTGCTTATGTCTTGTTTAGATATTTTGTAATGGAACTGAATGAGATAGCAATCACCAATCAGCTTTTTACTGCAATTAGCTACATTTATTCTGCTACTGTAAGAGAAACATCCAATAAAATTGCACCAATTCATGATTCATACTAGAATGTATCTGTACAAACACTTTCTAACATCCATTCAATGATAGAGATTAGAACAAAATGACAATATTTTTTTAATAACTTTGTTTACAGGTACATTGTACAAACCTTCAATTGTAACAAAAAACTGTTTTAAGAGTTCTTCAAATTCTATTCATTATCATTATCTCAATGGTTTGTGTAAAGTATGACATTTGGATCAATAGCCTTAGAGGTTATGTCATTTGCTCACAAAGATTATAAATGTCAAATATAATAGTGCTTGTAATGATAAAGCTAAACTCATCTCATGAAAACAAATAAGTTAAATAGTATTTTCAATGAGATGACTTGAATAAAACATTGTAGGCTGACATTGGCTTACATTGTAATACAAAATAGTATCTACCTTAAGAAAATAAAACAAAACAAGTCTTTATACTAAAAATCTTCTGTTAAGTTTCTTTAACAAAATTATTCTATTTTACAATAATGGTTATCAACTAAAAGAGTAAACTTTGTTTGTCTTATCATATAAAATGTTGCAGATAAAAATGCCACGACCTGGCAGTCTAAAAGACCCAGACATTGCTGAATTATTCAGTAGACATGATCCAGAGAAGATCTTTGAGGACCTTCGTGAGATCGGTCATGGGTCCTTTGGGGCAGTCTACTATGCTCGCTGCAATCTCACAAAAGAGATTGTGGCAATTAAGAAAATGTCATATGTTGGTAAACAGAGTGAAGAGAAATGGCAGGATATCTTAAAAGAAATTAAGTAAGTAGTTTGTTTTGTTTACATTTTGTTATCTATTTGGTTGGTACTGATAAGTTTAAAAACTGCAATGGCTTACCTGAATCAAAATATCATCACAATATTGTTTTGATTGATTGGAAGATAGCAGGAGATTTATAGAAACATGTTAAATATGTGACAAGTGATGAGTATGAAATCAGAGATATTGGCTGATATAATAAAACTGTACTAAACTTTGAGCCTCATGTAACATTGTACTGAGTATAATTAAGGATAGTAGTGTATGTACTGTATACATTGTTACATACTATATAGGAAGGAACTATTCACATACATAATTATGTTTAGACAAATAATGTTTCTACATGTCTCTACTATAGATGTTTGTATTTTCTGTGATTTTTACTGTACAATACAAATGTTAAGTGAATCTAAATTATTTTTTTACAGCAGTCATTCATTTAGTAACTTCATAATAATATGATTTATGTTTATTTGCCCTGTATATTTAAGCAGTCTATACAAATATCTTAGCAAATCAATTTTGTGGTATGTATATAGGACATTTAAAAAACAATAACTCTTCTGTTGTAGATTCCTCAAACAGCTGGAACATCCAAACACTATAGAGTATAAAGGGTGCTACAAACGAGAACATACAGCATGGCTAGTAATGGAGTATTGTGTTGGTTCCGCATCAGACATCATAGAGGTAATAATTTCTATCTTTATTATAATGTTTTAGTTTAAAATAGATCAAGTTTTTAGTTCAATATTTTAGTAATCTTTGAGAAACTTTAGGACATGACAAGATACCATGTATTGTGTATAACTGATAAAACATTTATATTTGAACAGTTTCCACTGGTATTCATGTATTATGTATTTCTCGCTGTTATCTCCTTTGGGGGGCTGGAAGAACTTTATATATATTTTTTACTAAAAACCACTATGAAAAAGTGTAATTTGAGGGTTTATCGACTTGCATTTTTTAATGTGATGGGGCACAAAGTAATGGATGCAGACAAAACCCCTTTTAACCCATATATCCTCAAGCGGTGACCGGTGACCACTCTCCCCTAACTACATTATAGACCTTATTTCTAATGTATAGAGACTACTTTTGCATGAAGAAATTTAGGGGATGATTTTCAACGGGTTCAAAAATAATAAATTGTACCAATAGTATAACAATTATATTCATTAACAATAAGAAGTGTATGTACTTACAATTAATTAGTTGAGACATTGCAATCATCATTCCAATAAAATGGTACCAGGAAAATTAAGGTTGCATAATCAAATTGTCTTCTTGTTAGACACATGTGACTATTAATTGGGAGAAGTGTTTGTTATTGGAACTGACTATTCGTTCTTTGTTATGCTTGATATTCATCCAATTATCAACAAGGTGTACTCAATTACTAAAGTTTATTTTAAGGAACTACATAATGATATTACAAATCAGATGTTTAGCAATATTGAGGAAGGTTATAGGCAACATATTATATTGGATAATAATATCATGTTTACTGCAACATGTAGGATAATGGTATAAGGATTCCAAGAAATTGAATAATGAGTAGGGACTTTTTACTCAGTGTATGTGTGTTATTGGGTCTCCTGTTATTGCCTGTTTGGAAAATATGGACACAAAAGTGGATGAAGGGGCTGTTTATCGTAGAGATTGGGTTTTCAACTTATGCGCTTAACTGACTAGCACTCAATAATGAATTATGTTGTAGGCTAGCATCTCAACCGCGTCGTAGTCATCTATTCCACTCGGTTCACATTTGTGATTTTCACAATTATTTCAATAGTATAGTTTATATTTTTCTCACATGTTAATTTACAATCTTGCTGTTATGATTGTCAATATGATTTAACAATTTTAAATTCTCCAAAATCGCTTTTATACTACACAGTAGGATAAATTATCTTTGAAGATAACAGTATCTTAACAAAATGTATACAATTTTGAATGTATGTAATATGTAAACTAATTAATCGACATAGTGATTTGTAATAAATGTACATTATAATCGCGTTATTTTTACGCCTGTAATTTAATCATGATCATATCAGCCTATCGTTGTTCGCTGCTGTTGATGTCTATAATGATAATTAGTAATATCGATGAATAAGTGCAAGTTTTACAAATATGTAAATTAATTATTACAAATGCTGAGTTGTTGACCCTTTTAGTTAAGATATCAGTTGTAGGAGATTAAAACTGCAAAAAAAATAATAATATGTTAATAAGCTGCGTATTGTAAATAACCTAGTAATACCTTACCAAGAATAATAATAAAATTTCATGGAAATCCATTTCACTAGTACAGTTTATCGTATCAATGAGGAAAAATGTTGCATTATCGTGACTACTTTAATTACTTGCTTATCCTTGACCTAACATTACCTTTTAAAAATATTTCTTTGTATCGTTGGTAAAATCGTTGTAGGCGCGCCTGTTGAACTCCAAGTCTTGAATTCAAGCACAGAGTCTAAAGAAACGTACTTTACCAATAAGTATAATATATTGGAAAATAATCGTTGCATTTCGGACTGCCTCGTTGGCCGAGTGGTCGGAAGGGCGACTGCCGGGCAAGGGTCTCGGGTTCGATTCCCGGGTCGGGCAAAGTATTACTGGGTATTAAAAAAAACACTTAGTAGTAGCACGGAGTCTGGAAATGTGCCCGGTATATGGCAATAGGCTCACCCCCTATTTTTGGGACTCATAAGTGGGTGTTACTTCTGTGTGCACCTCTGCCTACCCCTTCGGGGATAAAAGGCGTGATGTTATGTTATGTAGTTGCATTTCAGTTTGTTCTACTCCACATGAATATGAAAACCTTAAATTGTTGACATAATCCTCATTTATCTACTCTACGTTCAAAAGTGAATAATTTATAGGGATTAATCCATAAGGCGAGCTAACATCTTAGAATTTTGATGAGTCAGTCAGCCGAGATACTTGTCTTTATAATAATTCAGTGACGAAATGTTTACGTATGAGTTAATGACGCGAGACGCAACTTGTGTTGTGGTCGAACTGTTTCATCACTGTGACGTCACTCACGTCACACTCCCACAGCAGGTCACTCATACCGCCATACGTTTTGAAAATAATGATACTGTGTAATTCATAGTTATTGTAGAATTTGTAGCTTAGCTCTTGACGCACATCACTGGATGAAACGTCTTAAGACTAATCCAGGTCCGTCTGAATGCCAAGTTCCTTTTATTTCAACGTATATCGGATTGTTCAGTGGTTATACGAGTAACAACAATAATACATCTTCTCGAACACCTATTACAGTTTTATTATTACTGATATTAAAGTGACACAGTGAATATGAGGGCCTTATTCACTCATCAATCGGTTCAAGCAAAAATTGGTGGTTGCAATTGCAACCAAATGTTTTCTGACACACTCGGTGTTCTTAGAATTTGAATGACTAACTATATTCATGTGAACAACTTATATCCGAAAAAATGTTATTCTAACACTCATTTTGTTGCGTACATACTATCGCTTATCAGCTTAGGTAATCCTGACGTATTTTAAATCTGCATTTTAAATCACCAATATTTATCTACGGTCGTATATTTAAACACATTGCCGGATTCCTTTTTGATAGGTGTGATATGACGTAAATTGCGTATCATTCTCAGAAAATAATTTATATTCTCTCCGTTTCATTGAATTATCTCTAAATACTCTAAATAAGAACTCTTATATGATTGCACAAATAATTGCTTGAATTCAATACACTCAAATTCTTCACTTTTGTTAGATTATCTAAATCTTTTTAGTGCACATAACAACCATAGACGTTCTAATGATAGTGTAAGCTGTAAGTATTATTGAATACTAAAAATGTCAAGTGGTGCCGGGCCCTGTCACTAGTAGAGTAATGTACGCACACCGCATGCCGACGCGCGCCACATGCTAATTAAATAAATATCATATAATGTCATATTGTTTCCTGTTTTCGTGTTACATAATACAATCTGACTTCCGACATCATGGCTCGTGCCTCACTTGATACTCATTGCTTTCGTGCAGTAGCGCATTGTTTATGGTGGATAGATAGACTTCGATATTCATTGTGCAGCATTCTTATGTAACATGTCAGCAATAAATCTCTATTTATTCTTAAATACAAAATGACCGCATCTAGCATTGAACTAATGTTTCACAGAACTGGTGGTCTGCCACTTAGAAAAATTTAGTCGTTTACTAACAGTAATTAAGACAAACAATGCATGATGTAACATATACATACATAATGTATTTTAAATACGCATTTATTCGTTACAACCTAGCACATTACACATTGTTACTTGGCCCCCAGGTGCACAAACGGCCGCTACGTGAAGAAGAGATCGCGGCGATCTGTGAAGGTGTAGTCTGCGGTCTATCTTACTTGCACAGTCTAGGTCGCATCCACCGGGACATCAAGGCGGGCAACATATTACTCACTGAGAATGGCACGGTCAAGCTCGCCGACTTCGGCAGCGCCAGCATCAAGTGTCCAGCCAACAGCTTCGTCGGCACTCCCTACTGGATGGCGCCTGAAGTTATACTCGCCATGGACGAAGGACAATATGATGGAAAGGTTGGTTGGCTACTTGATAGCGTGATACTTATCTGATTATATAATATTATATATGACTTCTTGTTGGAAGTTGCAAGACCTTTTAATGCTTATGGATATTGTTATCCGATTGGAAATGTATAAAGAGTACATGATGACTTCCAGGTGGACGTATGGTCGCTGGGCATCACGTGTATCGAGCTTGCAGAGCGCAAGCCGCCGTACTTCAATATGAACGCTATGTCCGCACTTTACCACATCGCACAGAATGATTCCCCCACCTTACAGGTAACTAAAGTTTGATCATTGATAGCTATGAGAACATACCTACTTATTACATTTTTAAGTCAATCATTTATTATTTTAATTATTATCTTTTTTCATGCTTACAAACTGGAAATTATTTTGCGTACATTGTTTTTATTTGATTTCTAAAGCTAATATTTATATACAAAAAAGTACGTGTTACAGGCGCCGGAATGGACGGATACGTTCCGGTACTTCGTGGAGGCGTGCCTGCAGAAGAACCCAGCGGACCGGCCATCGTCCACGAAGCTACTATCGCACCCGTTCATCACTCGGCCGCGCTCACCCAACGTGCTGGTGGACCTCATCCAGCGGACCAAGGCTGCCGTGCGAGACCTCGACAATCTCAACTACAGGAAGATGAAGAAGATACTGATGGTCGACGCCGATAACGAGAGTGCTATAGGTACGTACAAATATGCCTTATCTCTCATACATATTTAGAAACACTTGACCGACTTTAGTGTCGCGTATTTGACCTTTTTATCGTTCACAAAAGATTGATACTCGTTACATATCTCGTGTTTAATGTTTTCGTATTGTTTGAAATGCGTAATATTGCTCTTTTCGAAGTTATCATGTTTATGCTATAGTGACAGATAATGTCTCGAAACATATCTACATAACAGAAAATGAAAATCGTCTGTTCCAAACGGAAAATAATAACGTCTCGAATGGTTATTATTTTGTATGGTAGTAGTAATGTATATGTTGTTTGGGTCCAGGGGACAGTGAGGAGACGGCAGAGGAGCGGTCTGGCGGCGACAGTTCGAAGTCCAACTCCGCCACGTCGGAGCACAGCGCGGCCGGCGCGTCCAGCCAGAGCTCGTCCTCCGGCAGTCTGCGCCGCCGGCCGCACGCGGTCAGTACATTACATTTATTATAACACGCTTTTATTATATGGACTTGTAACGAAACTGCAATAAAGTCCGAGAATCTGAAATACACGCCCTTCTAATTGTTGTATTACAATGAAACTATATGTAGATTAGCTGACCATACAATATTATGGTGCCATCGAGCTGAGCCGATAAGAGAATTGGAAGGCGGTTTGTGGAACTTTTTTTATATGTACATATATATATATTGCATGGGCCCACATTCGGTCACTATCTGGCCTGGTGGTAAGCGATGATGCGGTAGACCACATCGTAGACGATGGAGCACGTCGTCCCATAAGCATCCTATTCACTCGGGCCTTGAAGACACCTGGGCCTTAAAGACTGCCTTGAACGTATCCTTCAGGAATTACACTCTGGAAAAGCCGTCCCAAAGATGAGAGCAATACTCTGTACAGGCTACCAATACCTCCACGTGCTCCTCGGTGGCTTGGCTCCATGTGTGAGTGGCATACGCAAGAAGGTCCCCAGTAGATCGGTTACGTCGAAACCCGTATTGCCCATCGCTTAGGAGATCGTTACCTTCAAGGTATACCAGGAGTATATTGTTAAGTACACGTTCGAGACGTGACGTTCGTACGACGTGACCGAGATTTTATTTTGAGGTAATTGTTAGGTTCGGCACGACTACCTTTTTTGGGCACAGTCTGTACGTTGGCTAGTTTCCATGCAACTGACGCAAGACCAGTCTCCAAGGAAAGTCGAAACAGACGTGTCAGGATTGGAGACAGCTCAGGCGCACAGGTTTTTAAAACCACGGCTGGGATTCCATCGGGACCACTGGCATTGTTCACGCCGAGATCGCGCAGTGTCCTATATAGGTATAATTTTATGTTCGACACATATAATTTTATGTTCTAGTAAACAGTATCAGTATCATTTTATGTACAGTAAGAGTCTGGGCTCACTCGTTCCTATTTCTCTCTCCATCTCTCCCTCTCTCCCGCTCCTGATGAGGACATCAGACAGAAGGCGTGATTTTAACTTTTGTAACAGTATTTATTGAATAAATATGTTTGTGTTAGCAGCAGGTGAACGCGAACCACCACAGCCAGCCCCCTGCGCCGGCGCAGTACAGTCACCTCAACCACCAACACTCCGCGCACTCCGCCGTGCCCGCCAGGTACGTGGATACTGATCTACTCATACACCTTCATTCAGTCAAAAATGTTTTTTTAAACAATATCAATTAATAATAAATTGGTCAATCAACAGTATTCTGGATTTATAATTAAAGTCAGCAGTACCATGCTTCTGTACCAATCTTTCATTTAATTGGAACAACTCAATTTTCTTTTTCGCAATTTAAATATTATTAGTACTATTATTGTTGCATCCAATCCGTGAAATAATCAGTAATGCATGTGATAAGTAGGTCAGCTTGTATTTTTTGTAGTCAATGGTGAATTTTGTAGTTATCTTGTGTGTGTAGTTTGCTTTAGTTATATTAAATGGTGCAGTAGTACAATTTTAGTTTAGTAGCATGGCAACTTGTCTCTGAAGACTGTAGATTGTATGTACATAGATACACAGTATAAACATTTATACAGCTGGTCATTGCATGTTTACGTTGTTGACTAACTTTAAAATATATGTTTGAAGGCTAGCTGCATAAATATTTAGACTGAGGGATCAGCTGTAGTAATAAGCACGCACACGTAGAGCTTCCGTATGCACGTCCCGCACTAGATAGAGCCGCACTTGCGTTTCAGAGCACGCAAGAGCTGGCTTTTCTCATGTTGCTGTTTCGTACGCAGAGAGAGCGAGAGCCCTCTAGCGGGGGCCCACGACGACTACGTCAACAAGGACGCACTCAGGGACTACGCCAACCGCGACTCGCTGTGTGACGACTATGGAGACGACTACGCCAACCGCGACGCTATCCGCGAGGCGCGAGACCGCGACCGGGAACGTGAACGTGAGCGCGACCGCGAGCGAGAGCGCGAGCGCCCGCCCAGCGACTACCGCGAGTACGTCAACGCGCCCGCCGCCTGGCACGACCCCGACGACAACCGCAACACGCAGCGCAGGCAGACCAGTCGCAGTAAGGAACTCTACTAGTATTACACATTTACGTACTCGTGTTGCGAAAGGCGCGACACGACGTCTATTGACGAAAAAATTGTTTTATGTGTAACATCTGTTCTCACAGGTATAAGCAACAATGTTTCGGCGGCCATGTCGCTGGTATCAGAACACGGCGCAAACAACTTTGCGACGATACGAACAACCAGCATTGTCACCAAACAGCAGAAAGAACACAACCAGGTAAACATTAAATACATAATATACATTTGCATATTAAATTAACACCATGAGGAGAGGAAAGGAAAAATAAGCTATTTATATCATATGTGTAAGAGGATGGATAAGCAGGAGTGCTTGGTTCCAGGAGATGCACGAGCAGATGTCTGGCTACAAGCGCATGCGACGCGAGCACCAGGCGGCGCTGGTGAAGCTGGAGGAGCGCTGCAAGGCCGACGTCGACGCGCACAAGGCACAGCTCGACAGGGAGTACGAGGCGCTGCTGCAGCAACTCTCGCGGGACCTCGAGCGTCTGCAGGTACACGGCCTTGCAACTGTTACAAGGCTTCTGGAGACCAATTTTTCGCTAATGAGGCTCGTTATATTGTCTCTCATGCGTGAGGTTTAACGAGTTAAAAAGACCAAAAAAGATGAAAAAAGTGGGATCAAGACTAGCTAGAATTAACTAAAGTATTGAAGCAAAGGAACAATGTCCCATGGTTCTACCTACTACTACATCTGTTTATCAGATGTGTAATAAAAAGTACATTTAATTTCAGACCAAGCACGCGCAGGAGTTGGAACGCAAACAGAAACAGAATGCAGCGGCAGAGAAGAAGTTAATAAAGGATATTACCGCGAGACAGGAACAGGACAGGAAGGCGTTCGAGACACAACGCAAGCGCGAGTACAAGGCCAACAAGGAGCGGTGGAAAAAGGAACTCAGCATGGACGACGCCACGCCTAAACGACAGCGGGATGCCACGCTACAGTACGTAACTCGTCATATCTATTGCACTGATTGACTGGTGAATATACATAGAGTTAGGAATTTAAGTCAAAGGAATACCATTGTAAATCGATTGAGATTATCATAACTTATTTATTAAATCTTGCCCAATGAAACGTCCCAAATTCCAACTTTACGCAGAATTGTATCAAAATTAAAATAGTTTCTCCAAAAAACAGTAGGGTTAATGAGATTGCATGTTGTGTGTAGGTCTCAGAAGGACAACCTGAAGCAGGCGGAGGCGGCGGAGGAGATGCGACTGGTGCGGTCCCAGCGCGAGTACCTCGAGCTCGAGCTGCGCAGGTTCCGGCGCCGTCGCATGCTGGCGCTGCATCACAAGGAGCAGGAACTGCTGCGGGAGGTACCTACACTCTGCCTAACTTTTATTACTAACGAAAAATGTCCTTGGGACGTTTCTTATCTTTTAAAAAGATTTTTTTACACATCGCAATAACTTCTAACGTGATGTATCGTAACTTATTTACTGGTGTATGTGAATAAATGTATGTCTCTTCATTAGTACGCCACTGAGTTCGACTATAATGTGAATCACAAATTTGCAGGAGCTGAACAAGCGTCAGAACCAGCTGGAGCAGGCGCACGCAATGTTACTACGTCATCACGAGAAGACGCAGGAACTAGAGTACAGGCAACAGAAAGGAGTACACGCGTTAAGGTACGTTTCACTGAATAACTGTCATGTTATTTCGTAACGTATAGTTAAACAATTTTGTTCAATCTAACCCTCATATTTCCCGAGCGTACGGTGCGTCGTACGTGCGTTCCGTGCGCACCTCAAAGAGCCATCAGACCACCACGGATAAGGCCCAATAGGGTTGATGTCGATAAGGAGCCGCGGAGGACTTAACGGGTTGCTCCGGCTCGAAGGGCAGGAGTAGGAACGGCTGGTTTTTAGTCAGTAAGAGTCTGACACTCCCTCCTGCCTCACCCAGGCGGGTTAGATAATTTTCCCCCCTTTAAAAACCCATATTTCCTACTTAATTATCGGACTATTATTTGTATCTTTATTTAATACTACTTGTGTCTTTGAGATTTAAAAATGTAAAGTTAACATTAGATTCGTAGTAATAACACGGCGTATACTATGTTTATAATATGATTGAATTACATGAGTCATGTTTATGCAGAGAGGAGCAGTTATCGAACCAGCACGGCACGGAGCTGGCCAACCAGCGCGACTACATGCAGCGCGCAGAGCACGAGCTGCGCAAGAAGCACGCGCTTCAGCTTAAACAACAACCTAAAAGCCTCAAGGTACACGCTGTACTATTTATTTAGAGGACTAACTTATACATAAATAAAAATTACTTACATGCATCCCACCTACTTGTGAGTCTCACTACTGACAGAACGTACGCGCCAGCCATAACTATCTAGTAAACCTGCGTGATGCAAAGTCGTTGTAGTGAGTATCCATGAAATTTCTGCTTCTATTCATGCAATGTAAGAAGCACAAAAAACGTATTTATCACTACGCCTTACATTACTGAAAGTGTGTGACAGAGATTTTCCATAAAATTCGTAATCTTCATGCCAACAATTTGTAAATCTGTTTACAGCAAAAAGAAATGCAAATCCGCAAACAATTCCGTGAAACGTGCAAGATACAGACTCGTCAGTACAAGGCGCTCAAAGCGCAGATACTGCAGATGACTGCTAAGGTGAGAATACCATGTCATTAACATACTAGTAAATATTGCCAAAACAATACTTCCAATTTTGCACAATATGTGCTCATGTTGTGGTGCTCTAATTTTATGATATTATGACTCAACAAGTTTGTGTACATTATAGGAGCATCAGAAGGAAGTTATAAAAACGTTAAAGGACGAGAAGCGTCGCAAGTTGGTGCTGTTGGGTGAGCAGTACGACCAGAGCATCACTGAGATGTTGCAGAAGCAGACCGTCAGGTTGGACGAGAGTCAAATGGTTAGTAACTTATTTTCTGTAATTACTTGTTGTATGTTACGGATGCTGGCTATTCCACCATTATAACTTGAGGATTAATATCGGGATTAGACCTAACTAACTTGACTGACTAGAACTACCTAACTTGACTGACTGACTAGAATAGATATGTATTTTATAATTAATATTAACTGTGATTGTCTGTTTTTATAGATGGAGTGCCAACAGCTGAAGATGCAGTTGGAGCACGAGCTGGACATGCTGACTGCCTACCAGAGCAAGAGCAAGATGCAGGCCGAGGCGCAGCGCAACCGGGAGCGGCGCGAGCTGGAGGAACGGGTCGCCGTGCGGCGCGCGCTGCTAGAGCAGAAGGTACCTGGCATCCCACTGGCGCTATGTACTGGGGAGCCAACCGCGCGGCCGTGGCCCGCTGACATTACGTCGTTGTCCGCAGATGGAGTCGGAGTGCGCGCAGTTCGTGGCGGAGCGCGCCGAGCGCACGCGCCTGCTGCACGAGCGCCACGAGAGGGAGCTCGAGCACTTCGACAACGAGAGCGCACGTCTCGGCTTCAGGTGCTCCTATACTAATTATATTTTTACGAAAGGTCTTCGATCTGACTGGCGGTAGTTACCTCTTGCCACATTCATTGGTATTGCAAAATGCGTGACATAATCTGAGACTAACAATTAATTGTTGATGTCCCGCAGTGCGATGGCGATCGCAGAAGGCAGCCGGGAGGGCTACGGCGAGGAGGAGCAGTCTTTGTCGGGCTCGATGCTGTCTCTGGCACACAGCAACTCGTCCGCCAGCTTCGCGGCCGGCTCGCTGTAGTGGGCGCCGGCCCGACGTACTGCGGCCGAGCCTGCCGTTATCGCCTAATGCTGTTGCCAAACTACTCGCTTATACACACGTTACGTGTACGCTTTACTAGGTCATGCTTGTCGTATTCGTGATGGAAAATTTTATTGTAATGACGCTCTGCACGCGATTCCTTCGTCGTTCATCTTTATGACTCGAGCCACTGTGATAAGGCCGGTCGCTCAATGATATGGTGTAGCTGAATCGTATTCTAACGGCGTCGTCGGTACAACGTACATTGCTGTATGGCCAAAAAAATATAAAAGAAGGATCGAGATATGTAAAATATTAACAACGGTTTCGTTTCGTTTAACGGTGGCGTATACACAAACAGTTGATTAAACTTGTGTTAAGTAATTATATTCTGAATCTGATTAACTATTTACATTATGTGATTGCTCACGTGCATGATTGTGTTCATCATACATGATATTGAGAGAGAAGTTTCATTTCGATGCTCGCTATATGTAGAATAAGTGTTTGCTCAAAAATAGGGCGCCCCTGCCCTAGCAATGTAATATGTTTATCCTTTTTTGATATTTTCTTGGCTATGACGTCTGCCATATTAGTGGACCCGGGTGTAAATATTGTAGATTGATGATTCACTGAGGATGTTGAAGTGTCACACGCTCATAGCGCTCTCTAGTATTCAGAGCGGTTACATACAATCGATTGTTGTTATTATCGTTAGCAATGTTCACGGGCTCTACCTCATTAGACTTGTTACGAAAATTATGTGTTGATTGATAGAATCGTGTGAGTACATTGTGGTCCGCAGAAGTATTATTTCCGAGTATGTATATACAAACAATGTTTTGGCACCAGCATTAGAACTCCACGTCCCATTCTTATTACTGAGACTGTCTGCCCTCCCGCGGTGTGTAAATTCATGTTATTTGGCAACATGTTATTAAAAATACTGTTTGACACTGATATTAGCCTAATTTTTATGTATTTTTGTTACGTCTTCCAAAGCGAAAGTGTAGCCGTTCCTCTAGCGGCTCGGGAGGGCATTTCCTATTTTATTACACTATTAAGTTTATTGCACTCCATATTTAATTAATTATCTCTTAGCTACAGTCGAGTCGAGAGGTACTGGAAAGTAGCAACCTGCAAAAATGGCCGCTGGTATTGTGGTTACTATTGCGCGTTGTGAGGAGCCACAAAGTCTCGACCCACTTGTTAATGCATTACCGTGTTTCTGGTGTTTTGACAAATTATGTGAACTGAATACATCTACATTTGTACATACATAACATTATGTAGGTTTCAGTTATATTTTAGTTAGACGGATCAATGTAGAAGTGAATAATAATTTATTGTATAATAATATCTTTATGTACCGCATCCTTATTTTAAAATAAACATTATTTTAGAATCCTAGATGTTTTAGCCATCAATCGAAAAATGTGCCTAATTCTGCCTAAAAAATTTATCAAAATATCGGAAACAGTAAAGTTGTAATTCTAACAAAGAGGTTATACGCAAGTCTGCCTGTATATGTCTGAGGTTATTTAAATGATGCATCGATGTGAGAATGAGACGCTTCTTTTCTATTAGAGACTTACTCACGGTACGACACTGTTCCGTTGGCTTGCCAGTCCTCACGGCCCTAGAACTTTAACGAAACATTAGTTATAATGGAGAACTCGAGTAAACTTACGCTGTCGAAGTACTCGCAATACACTTACTACATTGTTGTCACATGATAATTAAAATTAACACTTAAATCTAAAACTTAATTTATTCGCGTCTGAATATTCGATCTCTTAGACATAAGAAATTTTTATCATCTCTAGAATATTATTAGACCGTCCATCGTTAAACCGCAGCATATGTACAACAACGGAACAGTGTCCAGTAGAGGGCATGATTATATTTAAAAATCTAGTATTCCTGATCCAATCTTGTATAAATATGTAGTTTATCGTAAGTTTCCACAGTGGTTCTAGCTGATTTTTCATCTTGATGCTCTGATGAAACAAGATTGAAAAATGTCACAAGTGATTACCACGAGCACGTCAAATGCTAAGTTAAGGCAAACTTTGTAGTGCATCCCAGGAACTTTGGTCCTCAAAGTGTACGCTTAAGATGTTTGACAAAAGGCATTAATTAGATGAAGTAGTCAGAGACGAGGCACCGAGCCGCGACCACCCCGCCCCACCTCACTGTTCACAGAGGATCTTATTATTTACAACATTAGATAGACAAAATTCTAATATTCATATCATTAGTTTTTACTTTAGGAACCATTTTTGCATATGTTATATTAATGTAAGTTGAATTTTTTGAAGAGCGGACTGACGGTATTTGTTTATTGGCCTAGTATTGAGTTTATTAAATGTTTAAAAAGTTTTTAACGAAGACGTATATTATTATGCTTATTTTAGATCATTTTTAGATTTTAAAAGGATTGTAACACGCTTTACTAAATCATAATAACAATGCGCAGGTGCCACTGCCGGTTCGTTGTGTAAATATAAAGTGTATGTATTATTGTGAATATGTAGCGAGCACACGATTTGCCTTACGGGCGGAGGGGCGCGCCGGGCTCGGCGTTATGTATATAAAGAACAATAATTTAAATATTATAAATAATTTGTTACTTTTGTAAGGTGCGAGTGCGGTTTTGTGTACATTGGAAGTGCGACGCGGCGGCCCCCGTGCGGGGCCAGACTATGTGCTATTTTCTTTATTTAGTGTCCTAATACCCTATCGTATTGTGTACTAAGCTTACCAGTCAAATATGTATAGCAAATGTATTATTTAATTTAAAATGGATTATAGTCATAAATACCCAAATTTAGTTAATACTATTTTTAAAGTATTTTTTATTATTTTTATTAATATTTTTCCTAAAGCATCACATGATGTGATCGTATTATTTGAGTTTGTTGGAAGATTCCCGACGGATTTAATGTATCGCAGCCTAAGTTGATTAGGTGTTAGAATATTTACAAAACATTTGACAAAATAGCTGTTTTATGTAAACATCTTTGCACAATGCCATTTATCCGAATCATATAATATATAAAAGTTGCTTCGATTTCCTAGATAATGCAAGTTGTGATAAATGGCTTTGTGGAATAGATTATTAGATTCCAGATTATCCCCTTCTAAACTGACCAAATATAAGACAATAATCTCTAGACACAGCCTAACTTGAGTTGTCACCCTCTCTGTACATATTTGTAGAATGCGAGTGCGCGAAGTGGACCTAACCGTTGGGAGTACTTAGTGCTGTGTTATGTATATAATACTGATTCGGTAAACAATTTCTATAAACTCTGTAAACTTTGTCGCATTGTAATATACCTATTAACAGTTATCTTGACACGAAACTACGCCTTTCTTGGCGTGTATTATCGATTGGATATCGTTTTGAATATTATTTTCGACCAAATGGCGGTATTCCGCTGCGTTACGTCCACTCTCCAATCTCTGCAGTTTCGCAGCTAAAGCTCGAACCGAAGCACTATGGAATTGAATTGTAAGCTGTAACTTCGCTTGCGTGCAACAGATGATCGGTACTTAAAGTTAGGCGCGTAGTATTTTGCTCGCTGTCTTAGTCCTCTGTCCGAACGTCGGCGGACTCTACCGCCGGCCACGCGGTACGAGTATAGGGCGTAGGCGCGTCGTTTTCCTATTCCAACCTCCCACCACTTAGCTGTTCTAGAGTTAGATGTTATTATCAGTTGTCTGTCACCTTTCAATGGTCACGATCTACAGATTAATTATTATGAGATAGAAGTACCAAACTCGTAGTTAGCGGTCACGTATTTTGTAAATTGTAACTATACAATTTTTATATTTTACCATTGTATAGTCTTTTATCACAGATAGGTAGTTAGCAATATTGTGACCGATGTGACAAGGTGCGCACGCGCGGCCGCCGGTTATTGATTATAGTTTGCGATTGTTAGCGGCTCGCTCGGTGCACCGTTGTTTTCTTTTTATTTTTGTTACATAATATTTAACAATGAATTTCTAGATTCTAACTATTATCACTAATAATACTGTAATATAATCTGGTTCATGAAAAATCAAACCGAAATAAATTAAATGGAAAGAATCACCATCTTGTATTATTGAAAGCACCCCTGTCTCATCTGCTGTACATCAAATAAAAGTTAGTAAAACTGTCTAAAAATCTATTTCTGAACTAACATATAAGTGAAACAAAAACAAGGATATACAATAACAATACCAAAGTACATTATTTCAGATGATTATCTTGAATTAAGCCTTAAATTGATCTTAAATATAAATATTACGGTTTCGTTTTTCATAAATGCTATCAAAAATAAGAAAAAAATAATCTATACTACAAAACTAGTGCCGCGTCTTCCTCATATAGTGTTGTAAACTGTTGTAGTTACTGGATATAACAGCTTAAAATATAGTAAGTATAGAAAAAAATATTGTGCTATTATTATTGCGGACTAGTGCGTACTTGTCTCAACACAATAAATAACAAAATGTTGATGATGTGCTTTCTGACTAGCTACCAATATCATCTTTCAATTAGTAGTCGTAAATGTTATAATTTCATTTAGTCTGGATTTAAATTGCCAAATATAAATACATAGAATACTTCTGTATTCACATAAAATGAATCAATATTTCAGATTACTTTCACTAAATGCAATATCATCTACAAAGCTGTTAGTTTTAATCTTACAACAAATGTAACGTCGTAATGAAGTATCTCGGGTCATACTCTGAGACTTATGTTGGGTCTTAGTCTGCAATACAATTTATGCATAAATTACATTAACAACTTATACAAATATCTAGCGTTTTAAATAGGATATGGTTTACGATTGGATAGTGACCCCCATCGAATTCTTTAGAAAAATATTTTTAGATGAAGGCAGTGGTTTCTAGAGGATTGTAAATGCGGTCGTCGAAGGCAGTTCGCAGAGTGCAGTGGTTTACTGTGTGGGAGAGAACTGTGTGGGTTCGAGGATACGGCAGTGCATCTCGCGGATGAGTGGCACTGTGTAGGCCACGCACTCGTCCCAGCCAGGGTTGCGCCATGTGCTCTCACGTGTCTCACGACGAGCCTGAAGGTCTTTGTAGCCTGCAAAGCATAGTTTCAGTTTCTTTCTGACCAATAAAAGACACCTCTTTTTAGCAGTTATTGCAGTTGGATAAAATTAAACTTACACCAAATGTGATGCACGTTGTAGAGTCGTCCAATCTGCGAGAAGTATCCAGCAAATGCTTCATTCTGTGATCGACGGTAAGTGAGACCGCGAGCCCAGTTGTTGCCCCACTCGATCATAGTACCCGGCTTCAGACTTAGAAGGAGGACAAAACATTACATTACAAAATATTTATTCAAAAGTCATATACTTCATAAAAAAGTAAGACAAACCTGTAAGAACGAATTTCGTAAATGTTGCTGGGTTCGCGAGGTTCTCCATTGGGCCAAAAGCTAAATGCCAGCAAGTATTGTAAGTGTCGGGATCTTACTAAGCTACCACGCTCCTTCTCTAATGCTCTATAATCCTGCATAACACAGAAAACAAATCAGAAAACATTTACCCAACTTTTTAGAAAGGGGTGTAAAATACACTATGGAAAACTGGAGTAAGTAACAAATATTTAGGAAAAATTAATGTATTGTAGACTATAATTTTCTAAAATTATACTTTTAATGTAATTCTGCAAAAATGATTGAATAATGATACATCTTTCAGGTTTCACAAAAGAATTAGCCATGGTTCATTTTTGGATAAATAAATACTGTTCAAATTTTTGTCCTGACTTGCTTCAGAGGTAGTGGGACTCATATAGATAATAATATCATGTTTTCCTAAAAGATCTCTTGTTTAAACTGTCAAACACCAAGTGGTCACCGGTGACCACAACCTATTGTTCTATAATTGTGTCTACAAAACCGGTACTCGACGAGTTAACAAAAAATAATTAATACACATATCAAAGGAATAACTCTACTTGATATGTATTAGGTGTATAGTTAAAGTCTGACATGCCACTATCAGTTAGTTGCCATAAAATAGTGATAGTAAATATTAGACACTCCCAACATAAATTACCACTTAAAAAAGTATTTTTACTTATGTTTGCTGCTAATACCTGTTATTTTCTATAGAATTTCTACCATAGACCTAATAAACCTTATGTTCAATTACTATAAATTATTCATACCTTAACAATTTTTTGTGTTATCAGGGTGATTTCAAAAGAAGTATAGTAAATATTTTACCATCAAAATGATATCTTACAGCATTTTCTTTGAACATAATCTTTGCTTTGTCAATCTTCTCGAATCCTCCAACATATCTCCAGAGGTGCAAGGCCTGGTCCATATCTCCCACGGACACTGTCCATGATCCCACTAACTCACATCCCAGTTCTGCTTTTTGTGAATGGACAAACTCAACTGAAGTTTTGCTAAAAAAAAGCAAGTTAATAATTATTTTCATTAATTACTAGCCAATGGGTTTTCAGTATTTAAATAGACTTATTACAATGATAATTAGTATGTGCTGTAGTTTAAAGTTTGACAGTTTGTTTTTAACAACTGTTATTATTGACACTTTCATTTTCATTGGGCTGAAAACATAGAAATCAGCTGTTACTGAATTCTGGACCTCTTACTTATTGAGGAACTATTACAGAATTATCTAAGAAACAAGAGTATACTTCAACAATGTTACTGATGTAAAGGGGTCAAGGTTTCATTCAGATAACATTAATTATAATTTATGTAGGAACTGTAATGTCTTGTCAACTGCAGCATTCTATTTACAGAATGTTGCATAATACTAATAACTTGCTCACTAGTTTACATTCTAGTGTACATGCATTTAGTTTCAGTACTTATGTAAGAAATAATCATTATGCAAACTCATACTAATTTTGCAAGTATTTGTCCATCGAGTCGGGCCTTATGTTATGTGTGTGGAGTGCATAAATTATCTCCTTGTCACTAAGCATCCGACTGTGGGACTCCTTCGTCGGTTCAATCCTTCGCACCAACAGCTTCGAAAACCATCCATCGTCGGCGTTCGCTAATCGTGCACTTGATGAAATCAACCTACAACAATAACTTCCATTTACGCAAAAGTTCCAAATTTAAAACCGGACACTGTACAAAACAACAACACGAAAAGTACCTCGTATTCTTCGGGATTGTTGTACTTAAAGTTAACACTTTATTGAGAGAATTCATTTTGAGAACAATATACGTTGAAACAAGATTCTAAACTACTAAATAATAAGTTGATAAAAAGTAATTCTTCTTATCAACAATTGACAAAATCACTTGAAGGTTATCTTGAAAATAGATTTTGCATACGTAGTGACACCTATCATGAGTGACCGAAACTAGAACAATATTATTAAAGTCAGCCAATCAACTCGTAACCACTAACTTTCTTTGTAAATATTGTTGTGATCTCATTGATAATTTTGATTTTTTGTTTCTGTTTGACGTGAGGATTTTGAATATTGCTATTTCACTCGTATGCTACATCTTTATCAGCAACTGGACTATTGCTGAAATTGTCAAAATATTGAGCCAGATTCTTTATACGCAGATATTTTAATAACATATGACTGAAAAATGACAATTATTAATAGTTCCAAACGAAACGTTACCTTTATTAAACATACATGAATATTAGTAGAAACAAATCGCCGCACACCTTTAAGCCTATCGAGTGAAATTGTGTCCACGGTTTTGTAATAATTTACGTAAAATTGTGGCAGTCAATATACGGTTTCGTACAACGTAACGTCATGTTTATTGACTGATGGCCGACAATTTGCTGACAAATTGTCATTTCTTTTTAATGAATAAATATTTTTTTACGCAGACTGACGAGTGAATTCAAGGCTTTTTTAAGGTTCTGCATCTCTCATAAAAAACCTCGTCATGGGTGAGTAGGCTGTCTAAATTGAATATTTTTTGCGTTCAAAACTTGTTTGTAATAGTGGGCGGTGTTGTCTTGTCGGTGTGTCTTGTGACTATGTCGATCTGTGTAGCTTCGAGCGAGGTGACGAAGCTTCAGCAGCACCTGGCGCTGCTAAAGGAAGAGTATGGGAAGCTGCAAAGCCATTGCGCTGAGGTGGAGCGCAAGTATACGCTGGCTGCTGCGTCGGCCGGTGACCTGAGCGAGACGAGCTTTGTGGCGCGCCTGCTGATGACAGTGGCCACTTTGTATGGCAGGGAGACATACTCTGATATTACTATCAAGCTGCAGAGCAAGTCCATGCCTGGTCATAAGTTCGTACTGAATGCACGCTCTGATGACTGGAATGAGGAAGCCCTTAAAAATCTAGAAGAATTAGGTGAGGTTTATTGTTGTTACTACAAATGAATTGCGTTTTACTTACGACTTTATTATGCTAAATTACCATACTGAGTAAAATGTTATATTAATTTCATTATGCATTGATGCAGTTAAAAACAAGATTTCACCTTTGTCTTTCAGATTGGACTACCCTCCCTGATGAGATAGGTGCTGCTCTTCTTAAATGGTTATACACAGATGTGGTTGACTTGTCCCGAGGAGATTCCTTTGCTCTTCAATTGATGAAATCAGCAGCAGGCTTCAAGCTCCATGGTTTAGTTGGAAAGTGTGAACAAGCCCTTATAGCGACTGTTGGAGTTAGGTGAGCATTACATTTTTTTGTAGATGGCATATGCTTATTTTAATGTAACAAACAGATTTTGTAAATAAACTGAAGTGCTGATAAGGTAAGGGGACTTAATGAGTTATCACTTCATATTTTTATAGCAAAGTAGGCCTGAAGCCTTTATTACTCACCACATTGAATATACATTATTTCAGTAACAGTTATACTTTCAATGTAATGACTCATAATGAAAAATCTGAATGCATTTGCAAAATACTTAAATTATTGGTTTTAATCATAAAAAAGTTAACCAACCGTTTCATGTTGTTTTCAGATCCTGTGTAAAGTTTTATTCAGCTGCTGATGAGATTGGTGCATCAGCTCTGAAGGAGCACTGCTCAGGACTTATATCGGCCCATTGGGATGATCTTACAGGTACACTTGTACAGATCTTGTGTCATAGGATAAACACTGAGAAATACTTGACTTGTTTACAGAAAATAATCGAAATCATTTCTAGTAGTGTCTGATCGAAACTACATTACAGTACACAATTTTTTTTTATATTTGATTGGCCACTTTGCCTGGTGGTAAGCGATGATGTGGTCCATGATGGAATACTATACAAATACTATATCCAGAGGCGAATTAATCCTAGATAGTACCCTATGTAAGCATCTGCACCTCATAGGCGCGCCTAATTTTTTGGCGCTACTCCCGTCACTGTATGAGCCCGCGTATTGCGTGCCTTTCAGTAACCTTGCGCCCTAGGCTTGCCTAATTTGCCTTAGTAATAATACGGCTTTGACAATATCTGATCAAAATTATCTTTGACCGGGTAGACTGGAGTTAGTCAGGGAAGCATTGAAGCAAGGGTTGCTATTGTTGTTTGCAACAGTGTGTTAACTCGTTGAGTACCGTCATTATAGACACAATTATAGAACAATAGGTTGCGGTCACCGGTGACCGCTTGGTGTTTGACAGTTTAAACACAAGTAATTGAATTAGTAAGTCAATGCAATGGTTGTGCGGATTGTACTTTAGTGCTCAGTAACTATATTATTGTATGAATATTCAGTAATTACAATGCATCCATTGATCAATCACCATATGACTTTAATTTGTGATAAATACTAGTATCAATCTGTGCTATTACTGCTAACAATTTATCTACCAAATAAATATTTAAAAAAAAGATATTATGATATAGTGTATTACTATATTATTGCAATACATGTTTTATATTTATTGAGGTAAGGAAATAAGTAGAGACACATAAACTTCTATAAACTTTTAGAAAGATTACCACGAAGTTGAAATTTCCGTTTGCTGTTATTTTTGGTCAATTTTTTGGTGTTTAATTATTAATACAATGCAGAAATAATACAATGAGGAAACTACTGCCATTTTTGACCTTGTTTGTTTTTATGTTAAACCCAGTTGGTAGGCATTTAACTCGTCGAGTACCGGTTTTGTAGACACAATTATAGAACAATAGGTTGCGGTCACCGGTGACCGCTTGGTGTTTGACAGTTTAATAGGCTATTGCCTGTTATATTATTATTTATTTTTGTTATTTTCCGTAATTACTGTCTGTGGTGAGTAAAACAAAAAAATAAAAACTACCAATCAATACTAATCGTGCACTCAATTTTTTAATTGTTACTATAATAAAATATTTATACATATTATTATATTAGCTAGCCGACCCTGCAAACTTCGTACCGCTTAAAAAAATCTCTGGACCTCCACAAACATTTCAAGACCAAAATTAGTCAAATCCGTTGAGCCGTCCTCGAGTTTTAGCGAGAGTAACGAACGGAAATTCATTTTATTTATATAGATTTGTATTGTAGGTGAGGACTTCGCGCACATGTCGTCGGCGCTCCTGTACCGAATGCTGAAGAGTAAGACCTCGCAGCCGCTGCACGGCGCCGTGCGATTGCTGCGGGAAGATGTCGTGTTCCTGTGCCTCGTCGAGAACCACGCCAACGTGAGTATATGCATGCTTTTATGATAAGTCTTGGATTAATGCATTAGTCTGTAATAGAATAACAGTTTTCCCACCGGAAAACTTCAATTTTTTGGGTATTGCGCCTTATGAAAAAAAATCCAAGTTGATTGATATAATTATATCTTTTATCACGTTAACTTTATTTTCTCAGTCGATTATCCTATTGAGCATAGCAGGCCCTTAATGAATTTGTAAAATATATTTTTTAGAAATTTTTAAGTTGTAACTAGGTGTTGTGCCAGTCTTCGGGAGTCCATGATAGTTTAATGAAACAATATTTATATAGTTTTAATTTCAAGGAAGCTTAATTAATATTAGTGTCCATATTTGTAGTACCTTACCAAATCATTCTCATTATGATTAGAGTGATATTTTGGTAAAATGTAATATTTTATATCTAATTGGCATAGTAAATGAAACTGAATAGTCTGCGTGCGTCCTGTTTGCACGATTCATCATCGTGTTCAGTGTCATAGCGTGAGTACTTCCATTGTGTTACACATTGATACGTTTTTAATATCGTTTATGTCTATAGTTTCGATACCGAAATATAAATACTGCAGGTTCAAATGTAACAATTTCATAATATTTCTATAAATAGAGAGAGAACGAAATCTGACTTATAAATGAGTATGTCTTGTCAAGTTAGTAGCAACTACCAGCTAGTTAAATCGGTTATCTAATCCGTAAGTCGACGTCGAACTACTTTCAACATTTGATAACATGCAATTATGGTTAGCGAATAGATTTTGATATCGTCCAGGAAGTTAAAGTTGATAATATGCTGAACTTTATACTACTTTGTAGATTAAATGTTAATCAACGTGTCTGAGACTTATCCTAAACTACTTATGTGACAACTTCCCGTAATTTGACAACGTTTATACATTTTCGACTCTATTGTAAACCAGTAAGATTGAAAATCCATTAGAAATGACAGATGGGACTTGGTTGATCGGTTTTGAATATTAACTCGTCGAGTACCGGTTTTGCAGACACAATTATAGAACAATAGGTTGCGGTCACCGGTGACCGCTTGGTGTTTGACAGTTTAATTAATCTTTTGCTTTTTACTTATTAAATACTTGGCCTTACTATAAGCCAGTAATCTGTCTCACTGCTGGATTAAGACGTCTTCTCACACCTATAAGGAATTAAACTGAACATTGTCTGATTGGCTATTTTAGACTTTACTTTAAAAGTCCAAGTTAACTTACCAAAAATTCGGTCCAGTAAAACTAAAATTGTATAGGAATGGTAATAATTATTCAATTATAAGATTACATGTATTTGAGTATCACATAAAATATTATAATCAACTGTACGTACATCAGTGGTGTTTGAAATAGTCTTTATTTCTCCAACAATAAGAATTAATCTCAATTGTTACCAATGAAGTACATACGTTGATGGATCTTACTTAAATAAAATATTACAAATTGTATTTAACCATTTACTGGTATTTAAAGTTATAAATGACTCAAGTGTTAAACGCTAAACAGATGTTGCATAGCTTATAATTTAGTAGAGTTGCGGGTACTGTCGAACAATAGACAATAAATTGTTACTTTCACTAATCTTGAAACATTCTACTACATCTTTGAAGACAATCAATTAAGATATTTACACAGAGTATACATTATTATTTTATGACGTTTACAATAATAAAATTGATATTACATAACTTCCAGGAAATAGCATAGCATTTAATATTCATCTTCATTTTATGTATGACGGAAACGGGGACCTACCGAACCGAAAACACAGATGACTATATCATACGTTAATAAAAGAAACATTATAATAATTGATTAACTAACTAACTAGTCTTACTACTTACCTGAAGTGCGTAAAGAGAATCACAGGCTTGCAATCTTTACATAAGTTTGACTAGCAAAAATGCGTATAACACGTATATAATGCACCACTGTCCGAAGCTCTTTGGGATCGTTCATAACATCGTCCGTCGAACTTACAACTATTGGCAGTATAACGACCCGTATAGAGGTATTAGGGATCTTATAAATAGTCTTATTTATCTAATTATTATTATCAAACATTGTCACCGTTATTTTATAGCGGTAAACAAGCGAAGCGAATAAGATTTTAAACTAAAACTAATTTCTAAGGTGTCATGACTTAGTCTTAGAAAGCATTAGTATGATAAAAATTATTACATAACTTTTTGTAAAAATTAAATTAGAAAATAGCAGAAATTCCAGTGTATCTACAAAGTGTAAGAAGTAATAATAATTAAGAGGACAATGCCAATGAAAGCGAAATATGCATCACCACGTGTCCACCATTTTACTTCAAAGAGTAAAATGCTGATTGTACGCTTATAAACAATACATAAATATGTTTTTGATATAAGATCCTATCTCCTATTTCTCATAATATACATAAATAAAAAAAAATATTCTAAGCCTAAATATAACAGGAATTAAATTTTTGTTCGTGAAGCGTGTCTTCAAATAATCTAACAGAAAATAGAATCTGTTTAGTCACTGATCTTGATCTTGATTAGTCAGTGCTACGTGTAGTCTTTAACTAACTTAAAACACCTAAAAGAATGACAGCAGCAAACGCTAACAAATTCCCTAGTATTTGTTGACTACCATTGCATCGGTCACCTCGGCAATAACAATACATGGTGTTCGGGGAGCGCTCGGAGTTGCTCGGGTCTTCCGAACAGGTTTCCTCATAAACTTCATGTATGTCCTGGACCGCTCGCCATTTGCCATTGATCCTCCTTTGCTCTCCATTCGCTGTCTGACTCGCACAGCCTCTCGTTATACTCTCCGATGTCACTGTAACAAATACATTTATGAGGAAAATAAATAGGGGAGGCCCATTTCTCAGTTATTTCTGTTTTCTTACGAGTGTTTGTTCTTATTTTAGCTGATGAACACGAAAATGTAAATACTTGATATATTTATAACTAAGATCAATTTCTTTCACTAGTTGTCATTGTTGTTGCTTTGTAAGCGTACATTGAGCGTATACCAGATTGACAATGCGGCTTACATACAATATTTAAACAAATGATGTAATTACACGAAGCTAAGTATTCTAAACACGATTGTGAAAGTAATGACTTCACAACAATCATTGTATTACGCGTCCTGTAACAATTAACGTAATTTGAACTCTGACTTGCATGTGTTAGGACTGCTATTAGCTTTTGGTACAGAAACATAACATAACAACACGCCTTTTATCCTCAAAGGGGTAGGCAGAGGTGCACATTATACCACAGTACAATGTAACACCCACTTTTTACTATTTATGTTATGAGTCCTATGTAATAGGGGGTGAGCCTATTGCCATATACCGGGCACAGTTCCAGACTCCGTGCTACTACTCAGAATTTTTTAAAAACCCAGTAATACTTTGCCCGACCTGGGAATCAAACCCGAGACCCCTTGCCCAGCTGTCGCAATTGCAAACACTCGGCCAACGAGGCAGTCAATGAGGTACAGAAACATAAATATAAATACGACTTCAAGTTAAAGCTAATCGTATGTTGCAAAAATAATAACAAAAGATGAACAAAAATGGATAAATTCGAAAGTTCTGTTCTCGTTTCACCACGAACCTCTGTTCAATAAATGTAAAAAAGTCAAGCTGCGTATAAGACAGAAATATGTGGACGCGCATAATATTCTTATGTAACATTATATGTAACAGTGCCACTTATAGTAATGTAACTGCTGCATATAGTCATGCAGTTATGGTGCAAATGGTATAGTCTGCTCATTTAACAGACCTTCTATGCGCATACTCCATAATAGTGCTCTATTTTACAAGAGGAACTGATAATTCATGACTCAAATACCAATTCACAGATATGTTTGTAATCGGAAGTATTGTTTTGCACTTGTTTAGGGAAATTCCGATGATGACATATTATTTTTTACTCGATTTTGGTCTCGATTTTTTAGTTTAATTAGCATTTAGCACATACTGACTGAATACTAATAACTACTACTACTAATAAGGTAATCATTTCGATTTTGTTATGAATAAGAGTCTAAATAACTTTTTTAAGTTTAAGTACAGAAATCCATGAACTTTGTTGTTAATGTTTAACTTTATCTCATTGCTAAGTCATTTCAAGCGAAAATATCTTTCCCACTTCTGGGAATAAATAGAGATAATAACATTAATTTATTTTTAATTAGAGATAATAAAATAAAAATACCGATCGACATATTTTTTCTAACATAATAATGGCACTTCCTACTATATCTATCATCCGAAAACAGTTTGTAATGTTATTTAATGTGGAGAGACAAGTTTTGATACGTCTATTTTGATCTGTGACATTTGAGTGAAGCAATAAAGCAATACTTGCGCCACGTACTGGCCACATGACACATATTCCTTTTAAAGGAGCGTTTCGTAAGGAAGCCGCGTTAACGGTACCATATTCACTATTTTATTGACCACCACTTCCTTTAACCACATGTTTATAGCTTCGTATGAACGATGTATTGACTGTCGGATAAACAACGACTTAATATATGCATTCTTTCAAGGAAATGTTAGATTAGATAGTAGAGTTTACGGAAGGATCAAATCTAAATTTACGTGTGACTAAGTACCAGCTGTTGAGATTCCCAGAAAGGAAAATCACAAAAACATTTTAATGTCTGTAATGTCAAGTTCAATAAATACTAGAAGCAACGTAGCGTGGCTTATATAAATGACTGTGTTATTCTAAGGCAGTAAATCTGCGGTTAGTGATGTATGAGTTTTTTAATGGTTAGGGCGCGTATCGTTCAACCGCGATGAAGGTGTGCGGTCAGGGGTCATTGCCACTTAGTCTCACGGGCAGCTGGTGTCTAGTCAGTCTAGCTCTATAAATATACTTACCTCAACGAATTAACATTCGCGACTATTACCATAAACTTACTTATAATATATCTAAGTGCCTTCACCACACAAGTGCGTTTCAAGTCCTCGTTGAGCTTTACATTACTATTGAATTTACTCCATGTTTTGTAACGGCATACAATTTTATTGGAAATGTTAATAAGATGTACTTGTCATGTATAACACATGGTTGAGTCAAATATGCCGAGCTTTCAACGGGGTCTGGAATGTGATTAAGACGCGTCTGTCTTTGATGTGTTAAGTGTGGTCAATTTACAAATGTCGATATGACATGATTCATAACTTGAAATAGAAACTACAAAAATAATCCTAGTCGGTTCTTGTGGCGCTTGTACTTGTACTGAAATATTTATTGTTTTGGGCCTGCTGCGTGTGGGTAACGTATATAAATGAAATATTAGTTATTTGTAGTTGCCTAGTTGGTCTTGAAAATATTTGTTAGATCTAATTTTGAACTGTGAAGCATATTCATCATCATTCATGTCTAGTTTTAAAAGGTTTTTAGCCTCAGATCAGATTCATTCATAAAATATTAGACTATCTTCTGGAAATCAGACCGATCAGATATATACATCTATACTACATCGATAGATACATCTAGACTACATTACCCAAGAAGTCATTTTATTATTAGTTCCTATACAAATTATAAACTACTGAATGACTGAAGTTGAAATGGACTATACGAAATTCCTCCGTTTGTTCATCAGTTGTCTTCTTTATTTTGTTTACAATCAGGTATACTTACATCCCTGACTGAATTCCAGCGTGGTGACCTTTTTGAAGCACATGGTGGAGTGCTTACACTCCGTCAAGTATTTGCTGCTGTAGTCGAACGACAGACACGGCAGCGTCACTTGTTCTGGATTGCAGGTGTAGCACTGTAAACTCCATGACACTAGAAAAAAGATAATACCTGTTTCAAAGCAATGCCAATGGACGCTAAAAAGTTGATGTATCTAGTTGGGGAGGGAGTGACAGTAAAATTTTGTTAGCTCATGTAGGAATCTAGTAATAATTGAGATATCTATCTAACGGCCATACTCCGAGTCATTAGTTACTTAACCCAGTGCTTGGCAATTGTTTTCTGTACAAAACGTTGCTAAGGAATGGTTTTAGTAATCAAGTCTCTAAGTACGGCAGTTAATGTATCTTCTAGAAGTTACAACTAAAGTAACATTATAGTTTCTTCTCTTGAAAAAAAAAATATTCTGTGCGATAATCACACAAAAGTTCCGTTAGATATTAACAACTTTAATAGTGTTAAATTAAACCTAATGACTGCGGTTTCCTAATTCTCGTGGGATCAGAATTCACACCCTGTGGTTCGAATTTTTATCATAAGATGAATATTTTCTATAGTCGTCAATGAATGAATAAGCGTACTACCTAACCTATTGTAAAATTGTAAACGGTTTCGTTTAAACAATTTTATTATATTAGTTAGATACTTTAGCGTTGACGTCATAGTATTTTGTGTAATATCTTACAAGTGAGACAAAAATACCATTTATATGCCATACTTCTGATTAATACTTCAAGGAAAACAGGTTTGATGTTATCATTACATTTGTTTTATTTTTCACCTTTTCAACATCAACTGGAAAGGTGGCATTGTTGACCTTCAATTCAATTCAATGCACGATTTTTAGAACAGTGTGATTATGTATTATTTTTATCTTGACTTCGTGTGTCAAATAGATAAAGGCTGTTTTTTTTACGTCATACTCAACACTTACTCGGGAGTTATTAAAAATTCATGTAATACAAAATTATTATGTAACTCATTTTCATATTTTTTTCATAATTACCAATATGGTAAAGACATGGCAATGTGTTCACCGCGGTAACACCCACGTATCCTATTTCTAAGCACCTTTCCACAGTAGCCAGAAGTCTAATGTAAATTGATCTTTATCTTCTTCGAGATTTAATCTGTTAACTTCAAAAATCATTTTGCTAATGACAATGTCTCGCTTTTCAATGCAAACAATTTTGTAAGTATTCGTATGAACGTACAAAGTCAGGCCGGGTTGCTAGCTTTAATATGTATTTTCATGCACGAGGATGTGGTGACACAAATATCAAGAGTATTTATGTATAAGTTCGTTGTATCCAGCTCTCACAATAGTCACAATACCGGAATACTTGCAAATCTTTAAGCGAAACTAAAAAGCCCAAGTCTTAATTAATGAACGTTTTAAACAATTAAAAAAACATTTGGAGATATATTTTTATTACACTGTAACTCTGTATTGTTATCAGTATTATCTTGTTAATTTAGCTCGTTAAACAACTAGATTGGCAAATGTTTTTTTACATCTCGCAGTCGTAAACGGCATAATACGATTTGTATAAAGAGATGGTCGTGATCTCTAGAGTCGTGATAAAGGATTACCATGTGCTATCGACTATGTACATCAACAGAGAATGTTGTTTACACTTGACCTACTCTACTATTTCTATTGGCGGTGCATGTCGAACAATTTGTAATGACAATGACCTTTCATATTTTCCTCTTCTTTACTAAACTTAGCACATAATTAAATGCCTTTGTTATCAACGGGTAAATAAGTGGTTTGCACCAGTTGCATGTTGGCCTATTTCAACATTATGCATAGTCTCTTTTTCCTTGTTCGGTTTGTTTTGTGTAATTCCCCAAAATTATAAGAGGTAGATTTTAAAGTAACTGTATTAATTACCATTATCATATACGGTAAACACGCTACTTTATGTTGTCTCTACCATTAAAGCCTTATTAAACATCGACTCGATGTCAATGACCCCTAAGCCCCCAAGTCATTAATTTTAAGATCCCTTAAAAAGACCGTGCGTAAAACATCATTCTATGGAACACAAAGAGTAATTAGAAAACTTACTGTTGAGTAAAAGGAGACATCTTCCCTTATTGTGAATGCAGAAATTTAAATCAAGTGGTTTGCAGTCGAGCCGTGACTAGAAACTGCATTACAAACGATCGACGTCCGGGAACAGACAGGACATCCTAGACTCATTCACTATTATTGGTCCGATAGATACACCGCTGCCTATAGTTTTTAAATACAAATTAAGTCTATGATTCGTTTTGATTCAGCCTTCATTACGCCTACCGCGATGTGACAGACTGAACCATATGGGAATGGATAATGAGGTTCGATGCCCACACGATATTAATTTACTGATAAATATCACAGCTACAAATGCCCGCCTAGTATTTTATTACCTATTGTTTTTATTTTACATGTCAGGAATATAAAACAAATATTTTTATCAATGTTTTCGTACTTAGACAATGTTTTATATCAACGTGTTCAAGGTTTTATTCAGCTTATGAACGTAAATAGACATACTAAATGATATAAAATATTAAATACCTTATTTTTTTGTGATCTTTTTCAAATATTTTGACAATGGATAGATACTCTCAAAAAATATTCATGTAAAGCGGCATTCAGTAAATAAGTGTTATTTTAAATACACCACCACAATAACAACTATTAATACAGCTCACTTGACAATTTCATTGAAAATGATAAGATAATAAATAAAAAAACAATGCCCGGCTCGAAAAATAAGTATCGTATCAATATTTAAATAAATAAAGAAACACTTTCACTTACATTTCCAAAACATTGTAAATGTTAATAACGACGCCGTCAAATCCATGTTTGAATAGCACCACTTAGAATTACGACTAAAACTACGGACTGTTAATTTTTAATTACATTTATGTGTTATGTATTTACAATGTTGCGATTGCGGCGCATGTGGCCGGCAGGGCTTTACACTGAACTGAAATTGGCACCTCCGTACTCAACTTCATGATTCACAGGAAGGAAACCCAGTGGCAAAACGGGACATGTCCAAATACTAACAAATAACACTCTTATATTCACTGTATTAACGCTGATTCATGCGATCGATTCTGGCGCCGGCGCGACACTGACCAACATTTGGCTGTTGGCTGTTCCACTCTGTGTCGGTTCATTCCGTTTGTCGCTTTGTCCCCGGATTCCGGTGTTTAGTTTTTATTTTAGATCTTCATTTTGCGAAAAAATATTCAAGACACGATCTCAAGCTATTAATACTTAAAATAATTAATGGGTTTCTACATTATTTGACGTTGTTTTTACAGGTGGACAAAGTGTTGACAGAGATCTTTAGCATCTCGATAACCACACAAGCCACTGAAAGGTGTTTATCTAACAAATTAATTATATGTATAGGTACATATTCTTAGTATGTGGTATAGAAGTAATGGGCTAGTACGTACAGTATTCGAACCGCGACAATAGCTTTGTTTTCAGTGTTTCATTTTGTAGAGGTTAATTGTGACATTGACGTGAACCTATAATTAACGCGATGAGAGATTTTTCCATAATTAAACTAATTTGAATAAACAAATTCTTGACTTTTTCTTTTCTGCTTTGAGTTCATAACAAGAGAGCTAACAACATAGGTATTATTATAATCGGTTAACCAAAAGGGAATATTTTTGGTTCTACTTTTTTGCAAATTGAGGAAATACTATTGCATGCAAAAGCGTGTGCTATCTACTACATAACATGTTTATTATTCTTTGTTAAAGATGTATATTCAGCCTGCTTTCTGTGTTTTTAGGTAGATGGAAATCTAATGATTTGTTTATCCGTTGACTGGTTAATTTTTGCTTCGTACGCAGGTGCGTACCTTTCTTTCAATAAACTTACGCATTTTAGACAAGCCACATGTTTTATATTTTAGAAGTTTGTTGTTTTGAGCATACAATATACGTATATGAAATATCAATTCTATGACTTACCACATTTTGCTTTCCGTCCAGTTGTGAAACAGTTTACTTTGATATAGTCAGCTCGCAACATCCTTTGTTATTGGCGATAAAACTAACATATTATAGTAGCAATGTTTATAAGGATAACTAACTGATGTCAATGTATTTACTTATGGTTTTATCTTAACAAAGTTGACAACTAAGAACTACGAGTGAAAAAAATAAAATATTATTTCATAAATAAGTACATATTAATTTATATCTGATAGCAGTGATAACAGATGATGATGCATTTAACTACATTTTTTATTGAAAATTGAAATTAAAGAAATATTAAAAAAATATCGAATAAATATATAAATTACTTAAGTAACAATTATCACCATTGGGTATACCCTACGCATCAAAATATCGTGACTCGTCACTCGAGTATTAGAGCGGTTTTCGAGGTTATCATAAATAATGTCCACATTTAGGTCGACGATAGTACGGACACGCGACAGTTAGCAACATTTACATCTATTGATTGTATTATGATCGAAACGTGGGTGTGTCTCGTGTCGTATTCCCTCGTTATTTGCTACTCCAGTCTAGTCTAGACTAGACTTAATGTTTAGTTCGTGGGAAGACTCAATATTCCACATAATGGATATTATGAACTATGTCCTATATTGAGTTTACTACCGAGTGGCACCAATTTTATGCCCATATTTTTTATGCTATGCATAATATACAATATCCAATTTGATATAAAAAATATACAATTTTGCTATGCATAATATTATGTGATATACTAAGCTTCATCACTAACGGTTTATTAAACCTTCTTTACAACTCTATATCGTTTATTTCAATGTTACAAAATACCTTTTTTTTTTGAGGGGAAAAATCATCCAATGACTTCTCCCGCCTGGGTGAGGCGGGAGAGACTCTTACTGACTAAAAACCACCCCGTTCCTACTCCTGCACTTCGAGCCGGAGCCCCGGCAACCCGTTAAGTCTTCCGCGGCTCCGTATCGGCATCAGTCCTGTTAGGCCCCATCTGTGGTGGTCTGATCCTTGAGGCGCGCGCAGAACGCGACGCGCCGTACGCTCGGGCCTTGTTCTGGTCGGGCGGCGAGTCACCCGAGCTCGCCGTCCGCAGGCCCGTGCTTACGGTGGCCGGAGATCGTCTCGCGATCCCCGACGTCCGGAGTGTCTCTCGCGACGGCCGGGTCGTGAGGAGGTTCGTTCCCTCACGCGCTCCGCCTCCTCCTTAGCTAGCATGACTGCTTCGCAGAAGGAGGAGACGGCATCCCAGTCCCCTTCGCTCCGTATCATGGTCTGAACCAGAGCCGTTACAAAGTACCTATGGTCTACATCATATTTTGCCATAGTATCGAGCCACACTGTGATGTTTTCCAGTGACCAAATTGTGGAAAAATCACATTAGGTTATATTTGTAAGTTACGAAATCTTTATTTTCTTTTATTAAAAATAAAAAAACGTTGCCCCATATTAGGATTTTCTCCTGTGTCGTGGGTGCGTTTACAAACATACAAGTTCAAATACACAATGACACCCAGACCCGAAACAACAATTTGTGGATCACGCAAAGTGTTGTTCCGTGCGGGAATCGAACCCGCGACACGTTGCAAGGCAGCCGGTTGCCCAGCCACCTCACCAACCGTGCAGTCAAATCGGTTAGGAACTGCGTTAGCTCACGACAAGTCAGTGGGAAATTTATACACGACTTCCTAAGTGGAACTTGTATTTATCTGAATCAACTCCGTAATATTTTATTTCTGCTTTTTCCTCTTCTCCATTTTCAATTACCCTGATATGAAAAGAGGTGCATCGAAACGGAGGCCAGTGTTAATAACCCATTGCATTCCATATACTGGCGTCATAAATGTTTTTATGTTATCTGTTATCACAGGCTATTTTTGTGTAAACGCCAGCATTATTCATTCATGCAACACATGCCTACCTTATTGTATCTTTTGTTGGAAATATGATTCATTGCATACAGTTTTTTATGGTATCACATAATTTAATATTTATTCCATTTATTCCGTACTCCTACAAAAGATCTCCATTTTACGTGGATTTCTGTTTACTGTTGAAAATAATGAAATGTGTATTAAATTATAATATTTATTATTTTTTACAAATACACAGGAAAAATATAAATACCTAGTTAAATACATCAATTAGTGGAACGTACTTTAACTGTAAACTTTACATTTGTTGATAACATTATTATTCATTTTAGGTTCCTTCAGACTATGCCTGAGCAATTAAATGTCTACTTACCTATTTTAAATAAATATAATGTACACAATGTTACACCAGCTTATTCGTAATTTTTATATCACAGCATTCGATTATCTGTACCTACAAGGTATGCTACGAAATGTGTTCATATGCATAACTTTCTAGTGTTGCACACTCTAAAGTATTTTACCAATTTTAGATACTGTTAACACTAAGTACCATACATTTACAATACAAACTCTATTTTCTAATTGATACTATACAAGTTCAATATAATAGTAAGGAATCCCAGTAAATAAATATTAGATAACTATCTGTACGATAAATGTATCTAAACTATCCTTCGTAAGACGTTGAGTTCATGTTCGTGTTTGATCTCCAACTACAGAATTTTCGGGGTTATCTACCAATGTCACTACGGGAGCAACCGCTATTGATTTGATTATTGTCTCTTGTATTGAATAAGAATCTATTTATCAATTTGTGTACGATTCTGACAATGACGACCATTTTGACGACTAGTGAGCGCAAGATCCGGCACGGCACAGCAGTGCATCCGTCAGATCACGAACCTGGTGCCGTGGAACAATTTCGCCGCATTTTGAGACGGCCAAGTCACAGAACATTAACTATAATAATAAAGAAAGCGTTATTCATCATTACTTTCCAGGGATCAACTAGTGGCTCCATCGAGACTTGGCTAGTTTTTTACAGAATGTTTTAGGTTAGATACTCTTAACATATTTTATTAAAACTGTATGTATTATCTCACTGATTTGACTGCCTTGGCGGCCTAGTGATCATACTATTTAGCCTGATTGTTGACTAGAACAGCCTTAGATCCGGCAAAAATAATCAGTAACAATACAGTGTGGTAACAAAATCGATATAGTAACACTATTTACCGCATGACACTAATAACATAATTAAAAAGAGTTTCTGCATTTATTTTATTGGAACACCTAGGCTTAACGTGTAGGGAAATAACAGATATGATGTTCAACATGTTATTATCCTGTTGTTCCAAATATAGAATTGATGGCTAATTAAATTAATACTCTAGTATAAGGCAAACAAGGTAAATTGTATTCCTAAGTATTACCTTAACTTTGTCGGAAAATATCTTGTTTGTGTCCATTTCAAAAACAAGTTTAATTTTAACGTTGTAGTAAATTAATATAGTTTATAAAGTAGAGCATAATACCTATTTGTGTTTACATGCATGTTATGACATTAATTATTCACAATTCAACTCCGTATTATTTTTGTCACTTAAAAATAGTATTTATCATTTGCTATATTACTTAGAAGACATTCGATATTCGAGAAATTGTGATTTCTCAGTTCAGAGTGCCTATGCAATATTAAATCGGCCATCGTTACCATAATTTTATGATTTTCTATATTTCATGCAACACGTGCCAAAAATTAAAACAGCACTTTAGAAAGTTTGAAAAACATATTCGTGTATTCATGAAAGTTAAGAAGATTAAAAGTGTCTTCGTAGGTCAATTGACATCGTTAATATTTCTTACTTTTCAAGTAACATGTCAGCTCAAACATTCTACTGAGATACTTTTTCGAAATTTTACAGGAAACACATGGTATTCATAAATATGCTATGTACATACAGCAATTACAGTCATATATTTATTACTTAAAAAAAATATATTCTAACATTATATTTATTATATTAATGTCTTAAATTATAACATCACTATACCCTTCTATTTATCACAAAGTATTGCGAGTAGTTGCGTGGCGTGGAGTAGTATATCATACACCTGAACACCAGATTTTTCTTCAGCCACAGGTTACAGCGTCGATCTATTGGCAGCTGCATGCCCACTATTCAGTATTGCGCAACAACTTTTCGTAACAATTAACATAATTAAGACCTACACGTGCCTACGACAACTACCTAAGGCTGTTGATGTATTTCATGAGGTTAAACACTACTATGACGCCCATGATGTCCGTGTAGCCTTCATGGCTGGTACTCGGAGAGGCATTACAAAGGTTATTGCGGCAATAGCAGTATCTGTAAATAAATAAACGTTTATTAACATAAATCTGTGATGAAGTGGGAGGTGCGGCCGTTTATGGGCACTATGACATCATTTCTGATCATCTTCGTGCAATTTTAATGTATGGCTATTAAATTTAAATTAGAATTGGCATATGAAACCAATACTTAATGTCTATGTAAAATATTAATAAAGTTCATTATTTAATGAAATAATGCAATTGAATTCTGAGAGAGAATCACGGAAAGTGGCTAATAATGTCGTGGCGTTATTACTGCGCACTATGTCCATAAAGATACTGCCGTCAGTTTTAATCTCTTTAAATTTAAATAAGTATTTGACGCCAGTAAATTTTGCATGTTTTTACATACGCCGTTTTTTCAGTTTCAAATAAAATTCACTTAAAATACACAAATCACAGAAAACAGTGGTAAAAGTGGATTAGTTACCTTGTAGGTGTACTCCTTTGCCCCTTGTCGTCTTCATTGATGCAGCCTTCTTTGTAAGGTTCCAATATCTCCATCTTCGGCGACCACCTACCGTTCTTGTAATCCTGATACTCGTGCTTCTGAGGCGCGCAGTCACGAAGGACGCCGTTTATCCTCACTGGAAATTATTAAATTACAATGATTTAACATTATTTTTGTAATGAATTACCTACTTTTATTGATCAGCAAGAACTGACATCAGCCGATAATTTTGTTGCAGCTGTGCAAATTGTCAATAGCTTGCATTGCATTCTTGGTGTGGACACAGACTCTTCATGTAATAATGGATCTATTGTATACTCGTAATAACTACCTGCGGAACTGGTTACTTCAGTATTGCTATTAATTCGATATTACGAAGTTTATACCTTCGCAATTTCTTTGTCCGTATAATCGGTCTACTTAAGTCAAATGCTTTAAAAAGTAATTAAAACACACGACACGTTTAGAGTCATGGTCTGTGGTTTTTAATCGTTCACGCCATTTTATTATGATTTGCACTGATTAGTTTAACTCCAAAAAACCTTGAAAGTGAAACTTTTACACTTAAATATTATATGAGTTGCATAAGTTGAGTTGCATTAATATAATTATGTACGTGTGTTGGAATTACTTTGGGCGTTAATATAATGTCTTGCTTTAATTCGATGCAATTCGTGTTTATATAGACGGGTTATTTTTGCTCGTAAGCGAATTGTCTTTTTTTCATTGCCTTGAACTGTCTGTCGCTAAGCACAATAATATTTGACCACCTTGACCGCATGGCATTCTTTATCATCAATTGAATCCTCGCTGTTCGTTGACAGAGGATCGCTAATGATGTATGCACGAACGAGCGTACGTCAGTCATTTGAGTTCTCATGACTTCGGCATTATTATCTTCAATGTCTTTAGATTCTATTATTTACTTTACTAATATTGTAACATGCTCAATTGTACATCTCTACTCTACATGCTTATCTAAATGTATATATCTTGTACTTCTTTAAACAAAGTGTAACTTTTGTAAGAGTGGTTTTAATACATACCTCCATTCTGTATGTCAAGATGGAATTCCTGCTTCATGCACATGGTAGAGTAGGGGCATTCCACTATGAACTTATCAGAGTGGTCGAAGTGCACGCAGAGCCTCTTCGTAGTGTTGTAATACTGGCCCGGCGGAGGGTTGATGAGGCAATGGTAGCACTGTAACGATGATACTCCTGGAATCAACAACAATGGACATGAAATAATGTCACATGTGATACTTAACCTTACTTGATACTTAATATCATATAGATTTTTAAATCCTGCATTCCAATTATTCTTTATGTCTTTGACATTACGACTGACAGTCTCTATAGGATACCTTTATAAGTGACCTTTACACATCGCGTGTCCACTAAGTATCTATATCCTGTTTTGTCAAGAACTCGGACTATACTCGTAACACACGCAGCTCCCACTAATACTAGTTCTTACGTACAGAATAACTCTATGAAGCCAGTAATTTATATTTTCCTCGTTTTCTTTACACCTACTAAGTAATCTGTGTTTTATACAGACTCCTTGCAAATACACTGCAGCTATTTGCAATGGACATTGTTTACTGAAATGTTTATTGAATAAATCCTCAGAATCACCCGTCTTAACTGCAGTCTGCAATTATGGATGGTCACCTAGGCTGGCTTATTGCCTAGCATTGCAAAGCGTTTGTTAACACTTAATTATCTGGTATTATTAGCGACGTATAGTGACTAGTTTATTCGATTGATACCCCATTGCTGATTTTTTCCAGCATTCAAAATTGTCAGTGCATTTTTATTCACTGTCACTAACGACAGTGACCATTATAGAATGTTTGGCGTTTGGTTATGAGGATAAACCGTAATGTAATAGTGCCTGATTTGTTTGTCGCAGACATCGTTAAAACGCTAGCTTTATTTTGACGGTAATTGTATGGTTTGTTGGCAGAGTCAATAACTTAATTATTGTACAGAAAGTGCCCCCAAAACACTGTTATTCCTTATGAAAGGAAACATTACAAGTACTCGCTAATTTGATGCCGCCACTAAACAAGTGTTTAGAAAACATCGATTGGTATTGCAATAATGTGCTAAATAAGCTTGGCACAGTGTGCACATTGTGTCGTCTGCTTAGGAATGCACTTATGCAGGGCATTCGGCAAATATGTTGCGTCACCGCGGGTGGTTCGCGCCCATTCTAGAGGTCGTGACTCATCTTCATACGTTTCTCGCTATATTTTATTTCTACTTATCCTCCAATAATTCTACTTGTACATACAAGTCTATAAGATATACCTAACTTTATCAGAATTCTATCCACTATTGGTTTTTTCCTTAACCTAATACCGATACCCTTCTGTATTCATTTCTTATCTATCAAACATTAAAAGTGCTTTATGTATTTTTTAATAAAATAAGCTACATAGTTCTTTGTCAAATTCTAAAGATTCGTTTTAATTATTTTAAACTGACTTAATGAAGTAATTTTTTATAATCTCAAGTCTGTATTATAACATTCATACAGACAGATGACAAAATAATTACACAAACTTAATTAAGTCAAAATTACAGCGTGTCTCAATCAGGTTACTAAATAATAGCAAGAGTTCAGACACTTGTTGGACGGAACATGCTAGTCACGATGTTAATGGTGATCTGTTCAGGTCATTGACATGAACATATGCATAGATTTGGAAATTACGCCTGAAATTATAGCTTGGCAGAATTCGCATTAAACTCGTCGTCATTGGGTTCAAGCTATAGACGTGTTTCCATAATTAGGTACTTAAAAACATAAAAAAAAAATGGTATAAAATATATATACCTACATGGTTTTTGATTCAAATAGTATACGTGTCATTTTATTTGTAATTTGTACTTAGAATGACTCACAGAGTTTTGTTATGTCAACTCCCACGCAGGTTCGCATTACGCATGCGCCGACGGTGAACGCTCGTTCTTGGAATCGAACCTTGCTTGGATTGGCCCGTGGCCGTCAACTGTCTAACGACTTTTCGTTTTCAAAAGCTTAGTTGATATCTCCATAATGTTATGGCTTGTCATAGTCTTATCGCATTGTTTTTTGTGATTTTAGAAATAAAATACCTACATGATTATAAAATCTTCTAACTGTAATTCCAAAATTGGTATGCATTAGCCAGTTCCGAGGCAATGAACTCCAGATTTGTAATAATAATTTTATACATAATTTAAAACAGACAAACATTCATACGATCTTATATTATTACAACGTAGGGTAAATTGGTTTCACATATTCGATAAGGGGGCTATACTTATTATTATTTGTCTAATGTCTGTATGAACATTATTAGGACTCGAAAAAGGTTTAGTTATGATATAAGTTAAGTACTAAATGGCATGTTGAAATTAATGTATTTCATGGCTACATTCATAGATGGTCTTCTAGTATGCTTAACATCTAGTAGGCTTAATATTTCATTATGGTCACAAAGATGAGAGCAACGTTGATTTTTATTTTTATAGTTATTGTTGCTTGTCATAGTGTAAGTGTGGACTATTACATAGGAAATAAACAAAGTCACGAAGATTATAAGAGCCATGTTATTTACAAAAATAATAACTCAAATTTATTACAAACGTCAAAAATTGGAGATGGTAATAAAGAACCTAACATTTCTATAGAGAACACTAACACTACACCGGAAATTGAAGATAGTAAACAAGATTATGAAGAATATGATGAACTCACCGACATAGAAGAGCAAATGTCACAAAAAACTCTTAAAATAAAAATTTCAACAGACCAAAATGTTTTGGACTCCGATCCAGAACAGATCGAAATCGGTCACGATCCTGCTGTATTGCGACTAGGAAATGACCCCGAACCAGGGCTTGACACTAAAATAAATAAGACTATGAACGACATTTTTGAAGAATATGGACAACAAAGTGATAGTGAAGAATCGGGAACAGCTCATCCAGTATTACGTGATCAAGATAAAACTACTGAAAATCAGTTAAATACGGAGTCGGATGCTATTTTAATAAAAAACGCCACTGAAGAAGAGAGTGATACAGAAAAACTTCCAATAGACTTTTATAACTTAATACCAGCGTCAAGTGTATTAAATGACACAGATTCAAAATTTCGCACTTTCAATATTCACGAAAACGTTTGGTACGTCCCTGAAAATTGTCCCTGTTGGGAACTACCTATATTGTACGCTGAAAGTGGGCAAATTATGTCAAATACAGATGTTTTTCTTATGTATCAAGGGATTCTAAAGAACGTTGAAGAAAAGTTAGAAAAGAGTAAAACGCCATCTAAACCACTTTATGTACCTGTGTCTCAAAATATGAATAAGTGGTGTGCTGTGGGTCCTTGTTACGGCGATCACACGCTCTGTCTCTTTCCGGAAAGAATTAATTCCAAGTTATGCAGAAATGGTTATGTAGTTTCTACTCCTACAATGATTGAGCAGATAGGTTTAGTAAATACTGTAAATTCAATGAGAAATCGTGTCGCTAATGGAGAAACAGGACAATATAAACATTTGCCGAAAGCAGCTGACATGAATCAGATAATATATGACCTCGATTTAGAAAGTATGGCTGTAAATTGGCTTCATCAGTGCTTGCCAGGTCCTGCTGCATGCTCTGCTCTCGATGAAAACTACGTTACGCAGCTGGAATGCACTAAACATGCAAGGCACTGCTGTATTGACTCATTTAAATCCGAAATGGCATCAAAGTGGTATGCTTTATTCGATATTATAATTTTAATAGTTATTATATACACAAGGAACGGTGAATTAACATTTGAAAATGTTTATTACAGCATACCTCAATACGAATGTTACGTGGACGCTATTATTGGATGCATTCATTTATGGTTCTCAAAAGCTGGTAGCGCTCTTACAACGACAGATGTGCAATGCGGCCATATAACACCAGCTACTTATCATACAGCTCAGTTGCTGTGGGCAGAAACCAATAAAATAGGCTGTGCCTATGGGAAAAAAATAGATGGTGATGTACGAGTCGTGTGTAATTTTGCTCCTGGTGCACCATATTTTATTGACACGAAATATTACTGTGGTTTCATTTCTCATCCTAGGGTTAAGGAAGATTTTGCGAAAGAAGGCATAAATTTAACTTCTCCAAATTTTTTGGCAGCGCTCGGTATATCGTTAAATCCAGTGGTCAAGTGTGACTATAAGAGACAGGAATTCACTAGTCACCAAACTAATTACTCATTGAGGTTTTCTAATATTGATATCCTTGGTAAGATTTATAAGAGGAAATGGATTCGTTCGAAATATAACGAAACCGTGAACGACACTATTGGTTTAGTTGCTCGACTGGTGACGAAGTACTCGTTTGTTGGAGATGATAGCTCGCAATGTGACTCAGGTGTAGCTATCTATGAGAGCGGGGAGCCTGGCTCGAAGTGCGTCGAGCGAGGCAGGCGCTTCCACGCTTTGTGTTATGATTTCCGCGATCCTACTCCCGGATACAGGCTAGTGGCTGTCGTGGCTCCAATTGCATTATTTTCTCTTATTCTTTATGACTTATTTAGTGGTGTAGTGCGTCAGACCAACTATTAACATGATATCATCGCGAAACCCACTGTTTTGTCTAATTTATAGAGTCCAAAATTTATCTCAAAAGATAACATTTATTTTAGACTTTGTTATTATTATTACCGAATTCAGAGTGAGAATGTGCACAATTATATACCTACTAAGTTATATTGTAGTAGTTTTTATTTAGATAATAATATCATGTTATTAATAAATCGTTATAAATTCATGTCGTGTAGAAGTTAATCCGTTTAAATGTAAATTAAACTGTTTCTCTCGATGACTCATTGAACTTTATAATAAAACCTTTGCTGTACAATATTATACATAGGTTTTTGTTGGAAGGAGTACCTACTGATATTTTACTTATTTTGTGTGTGAATTGTTATTGTTTTTAATCCAGAAATTGGGAATTTTCAATTTTAAAAATGTTTTGTTTTATTGTCTGATTATGTTGCAGTTACGGCTTATTCATTTGATTAATCAATAATTGTAACTAATAACCACTACCTATCAGAACATACATACAACATTGCATAGATTCAATGACGCGCGGTCGATCATGCCAAGCAGTCTGATGCGTTTATCTTTACGTACACCAATTGAACTGCAGTTCAAGGCGAACCGATTGTCGATATTAATGCCCTTATTTAGTAATATTTAGAACCAGTGTCACCTCTAATGCGAAAACAAACAAGAAATATGATAATAATATGTACCACAAATATAATATGCGTATATGTACCTATTTTTCTTCACTACGTTATCATTATTAAGAGTGGACCTGGACAGACGATGTGAAAAAGGTCGCAATCGCAAGGAGCCTATGGACGCAGGTAATTTCCGACCAGCTACTATCTAGAACTCTTGGGAGAGATCTATATTCATACGTGGACTACTTGTGGCTGATAATATGATGACGTACAGATGGATGCAAAATATAAGATTACCTCAGAAGCTCATTTGTATTTTTCGCATTTTTTTTTAAAGCAGTTCGTTAATGTCAATTCGTTTCTTTTCGCTGTTGACCTTTATGGAGATATTGTTTGGTTACAGTGGCCCAAAAAATAGCAAAAGAAGTTCCGCTGTTGATTAAAATTCCGTAACCTCTGACTTAAGATTCACTGGAGCATTTCACTTATCGCGTAACTATGCAGCAGTGAACTCACGCATATCCGTGAATATCCGAATATTTCTTTATTTCCTCTGTGTTCCTACAGATATTCTATAGAACCTGTGAATAGCATTCCGACCATATTAAGTTGGGTAGCAAAGATTTTGCTTTATAATATTCAAAACTACGCCGCGGGAAAGCGTTGACGAAAGAAAGTCCAGTTAGTCAATCATAAACATAATTAGAAGAGGACCACCTGATTACTTCTTGATATGATAAAATCATGTAACCTTAAAAACCATAAATTATATACGACTTACCATTGAACCTACTCTGATAAACACTTGACCGTTTAATTGATTCAATAGACCCAGATAAATACGTAATAGATTGCTCTACTACATGAGACATTCATTTGAATAATTGAGAGACAACGAGGTTAGTATAATTATTGCGTTAATGAAATTCTATTAGAAGGTTTCGTTGCATAACTTTTCATGCCGATTATGTAAAACATATAATACAGAGAAGAGAGGATTAATCTGTTACGAACCTGTTGTTATCAAGGACAGGATAGTGTATATCACGGCTAATATGCAATACTCCATACTCGAACTTTTCGCAGCTCTACTACAGCGGTTTGTTTTCAAATCGCACGTGCATCCGAATGCGTTAATTCGCCTCTGTGCTTTTTCTCGACGTCTCCCGCGCTCCCATTAAAAGATCTGAAAAAAAAAAAGATATTTTTAATAGTTTGTCTACCAAATAAATCGATTAGCTTAAATCGGAATTATCTTTTTTACTTTGGATTTCTCAACACATCGTGATCTTCAACATCATATCGATTATTCCGAAAGTAAATTAGCAATTCAAATGATGAAATAGTACCTATATTTTATTTAATTCTAATAGCCAGATCAATGTACCTGGCAGCACACTTAGTAGGCACTGTTACTGTTGTAGTGAATTGGCGCACTTGTGTTGTGTTCAAGGTCCTGACACGCTTGCTTAAGGCCTTTCCCCAGTCTGGCTTTCAACCCAAAAACTTAGATACAACAATTATGTAAGCTCAACATAATACGATTTACTATTCTCTGTATTCCTAAATTATACTCAATCTCGTTTAATTATACACGCAAAGAAAATCGTTTTCCGCGCTGCATTTTTCCGATTTGCTCAACAAATTAAAGCAAGTTAGGTGAAACGTAGGAATTAAATACATTGAAATGTATCGAGGCTTAACTTAATAGGTACCTCAATAATAAATGCGTTTAGTTTTCTCAAGTACATGAGAAAATTGTATGCTAATTGTTAGATTATAATAAATTAGACCTCCAAGTACGTCATAAATAAATTTTTTTATTTTCGTTTTCTTTATCGTCTTCTCTTTATGTGTAAATAAAAATGTTTAGTTGGTAAACAGGCGCAACGCAGGGCGCAGCAACTATTTTCTTTCTATTAAAATGTATAGCTAGTTTGTTTTAGATGTAGGATAATAATGTTTATAAATGCTGTATTTGCCTATGTATAAGTATTTGTTACACTTACTGTAAAACACTCACATTTGTATTTTGACAATTATATTTGTGTAAACAAATGTTGGTAAATCATAAATAAATAAATAAAAAAAGTCTGTCTATGCAATGAGATATTTACTATACTGTCATGTTTATGAACCGGTACCTATAACATGTTTTTGCAATGAACACGTTGTACAAATGAAGATCCCAATATTTAAATAATCTGCCTAGCTATTTATTGAAATGATACATGAACTTACATAATTAGAGCAGTACAGTTAGGTACATTTAAACGAGTTCACTTGGTGGTAAAGAAACTCGGTACGAAAGACCAAAGAGTTACAACACGCGGCCGACTATTGCGTGTGGGCACTGGCTCAGTATTCAACCATGAAATAGATTATTTGAGCATTTGTCTCACCATTGCAGAATGCTTAACACAATTGTCCAACGACTTATTGTTGTCAAGTATTGATTCTACTTACAATGGTGTTTGAAACTAATGTGTTCCATCGTGTGGAACATGATGATCTCAAATAAGTAAGTAAAGAACAAAATAGTAAGTCTCAAATATATTTTTACTTTATATTTAATTAATATATATTTAATTAATATATATTTAATATAATTTACTTAATAATTTAACAGTGCTGCAAAAGGTACTTAATAGGTCCCTAAACTGACGTTGATACAATTATGCTAATTTTATTTACCAGCCATACTTTCAGTACTAAAATAAGCGGACATTTTGTCGGCACAAATATATCATGGTAAGCACTTTTCATTTTACAAGGTGATCAAGAATGTCAAGTTGTTGTCTCGTATGCCTACCACTCAATGAAGTTTAAAAATTGTTGTGACGGTTTGGTATTTCAGACCAGTTTTCATAACATTTCGTTCTATTCTATTTATACGAATCATCGATACTGTTTTTGTTGCAGCCTTGCAGGACGCATATTCAATAAAATATCTTGTTTAATTTATTAATAACAATAGTGTTACTTAAATACTTGATCTTTTTATTTCGAATATATTGATATACTCTATAAATTATATTTTACTTTGGCTATACTTTTAAATCAGCAAAGTGGAGCAAGGTCGATAAAATTGTACAAAAAATTCTTAATTTTATTAATTAAACAATTTGTACGGAATATCTGTAACAGCTTAAAGTTGTAAATGTAATTTTAGCAACAGTTTTTTTCTTGCAAGCTTTATTGTTTTTTAAACCAGTTTGGACAGCGTAACTTTCAACACTGCACTGGCACCGGTGTGGCTGTTACATCATTTTTTTTTTATTATAGCAGGTTAAGGACGTTAAAAATGTGTCCCAAATTCACGAACTCAACATTTTGCTCTATGCAACCATCCTATTATAGCCGCTTAGAAATTCCAACAATACTTTTGCATTGACAACTATGAATAGCTTCAACAAATGAACTTGCTCCAGTAATGACACGTACATTGCATTTTTACATAATTTACGTACATTATTGCGTATCGTGATTCCTTGAATACTGATTGTTTGAAGTTGATGAGTTGCACAACAAATTCCACATAGTTGTTAAATTATATTTGGGAGGTTCGAGTCTAATCGTATGACTAAATAGTGTTGAAATAAAATTGGCATATATGCACATTTTGCAGAATCACGTAGTCCACAAAAATCGAATAGCAATGAAAATGTTTGTGTAGAAGGTCGGAATGTTAAGCAATTGATTCCATTGTACCGATGCATATAATAGTTAGGAATCGGTTATTGTTGTTCTACCTTGAACTGACATACCTAATGCGTCCTGTCATTATTTTAGTGACATAAGTATATCATAAAAAATAAACATATTGTTTAGAATAAGAAGCATGCTATTGTTACAAAAAGCGAAAAATAAGATAAACCAAATTATGAAATTGTGTATCGTGATTGTTAATTTCTAAAACTCTGATAACTCGATAGACTGGACGCACGATGGTACCTAAGCGCGGATCTGATCAAAGTTGTGTAACTTAACATTTATGCAAATCCAACTAATGAGGTAAATCAATTAATAGACCTACTCATTGCAATGCATATAAATTAAACATATTTCACATAATACGTGCTATAATCTTCGTGATTAAACGCCGAGTGTAAATTAGCAATTACCGCTGTACTCAGATCATTTAATAATTACTTAACCCAGCCCTTAACCATTGTTTATGAACAAAAATAGTAGCATAGGAATCGGTTAGGTTATTATTAAATATCTGTACGGCAGTTATAGAGCTCACATTAACTAATCACTATATTGAAATATGTCAGCCACTGTAGCCAATATTTCTGCTAGCAGCTACTAATTCCCTATACATGATTCATACTAGTTGCAAGGAAATACGTCAATCTCCATATCATATAAAATTCAGTTCGCCCTTCCTTCCTCAAACTCAAGTCAGTAACAAACTAGATGTGGACCTCTAGTATATTTTATAGTTAGTGGAAAACAAGAAGAAAATTGCGTGCTAATGAAGAGGCCTATTTTCAGCAGTCAGTCATGTTACAGATTCCAAGTGTTGTTATGTTCATAATACAGCTATGATTAGATGCAAGCATGTAACACGTGTAATAATGATCCAGAATGCATTACCCTGTAAGACCCTGTTCTAGTATTGCTTATTGAGCCTTGAGGTCGTTCGTATTATCAAGTTCAGCCGCATTGTATAAGGTAACACTGAATAATAATATTTTTATTGTAGAATGTCTTAGTATTACATCAATTATTGACCTCAGAACGCTCGTTCTATTAAAAGGAAATTCCTGCTTCTATGCCCCGTCTCACTATTTCCCCAGGAAACGATCCAGACTGATTGTAGCGACTATCGTAAGAGAAGTGCTAGGTCATTCGTTCTGATACCAACCGAAGGCTTTTCTAATTATACTGCCTGTATGAACAAATTAATCTTCGTAGTTATAAAGTTATAAGACTTATAAGGTAAGGTAAAGCCGTATATTACAAATCTATCGCTAAAAATTCCGTTTAAAAATGTTTTATAACGCAATAACAATCTTGCTTATCGAATCACTCGTTGAAAACGTATTGGAGGGAATCAAACTGGATATCAGAGTTATTTGCATAATACTGGCAGACTCGAGAATAACTTAAGCAGGCGATATTTTGATTATTCCGATTAGGCACGACCAACGACAGTGTCAAGGACTAAACAAACAGAATCGGTTACCATGTTATGGAAAAAATATTTAGCAAATATTACATCACCGTTTATTGTAATTATACAGACGTTCTAAATTACGACAACACACCCAGACGAATTTGTGTTAATGGCAACGTAAGTATAGATAGTAATAAAATAAACACATACATTTTAAAATATATGGTAATAAACATAATATTTTAAACACAAGATAAAATATTGTATGAGAGCAATTACATTTTATGAACCCAATAATAACATTAGTCCCTATAAGGACCCAACTACATTTGATTGTAATCACAAACAACGTGTCCTTACTTCATTCGCTTTATAATACTTCAAGTTTCTCAGATTCAGACTTGAAACGATGTTGAATCACAAAGAAACTCGTTCGTTAAGTAATATTGTTTTGAGCAACGAAACTGGTATAACAATAACACTACAACTTGGGAGACATACCGACATATTTTGACAAGGTTGTCTAACAAATGTAGCTATTTTAATGTTGATGTAAATAAATTAACTAAATATAACGAGTTACTTATAAATATGTATACTGACATCGCCACTCGAAACTAGTAGAGCTTTTCTGAGTATATTTACGTGAATAACTTGTTATTTTTTGTTAATTTAGTATGTCTCAAGATGTTATTGTAAATAAATTAAATCAGAACCTAGTACTTGTTAACAATAAACCTATTCGAATAAATACCAATTAACAAGGCTATGTAAGTTCATGGAAATTCAGTTCAATATCGCTTCTCGATGACGTGTGTTTACAAAATAAATAGAATTTAATGAAGTAGTTAGCTATGACTGATAAAGGTGCATAGTTAACCCAAGAAGCATGCAATAAATAGTTTATCCGTAGGTAAATGTATCAATTAAAACCATTACGAGGTCTAATCCATATTATAAATATTTTATAAGTCCCAAGGTTGCAATATCAATGAATGAAGTTATAATCTCGTACATAATACAACTAAGTATCATACATAATAGTCCGGTAAGATTTATGTAAGACAATCCTTGACCTTCACTGCTTACTCTCTATATGACCATTATTTACATTTTCAATTGCTAAGTTTTGCAATACTTGGCATTGACTTTAATTCTTCAATGAAATCATTGTTAGTTTAATGTTCTAGGTGCGTAAACTTTTCACTCAAGGTTACATTTTGAATTTGTATTGTATTCATATCGTATGAAAATACAACGCAGCTGTAAACTGGTCTGATTGTAACAAATTGCAGTATGTATTTTGTAAACATGCTGAAGTTTACAAAGCACTCCATATTACACTGAACAACATCAGCAAAGACTAATATCCTAATTTTAGATTTTGTTTACGAGTTTTCAACTTGACAGACCGGCTTGGACCGCAGTGGCAGTCTGTTCAAAAACCAAAAAATATAAAATTTTGCATTATCTTCACTTCATACTTACTGTTCACTGTGCACACCTTTACATGAATTTAACACAGAGCAGTTTTTGCTACATAACAAAAAACATTAATATTTCACAAAAGTATTCACAGCCTATATTTCGTAATTAAACACGTGTGTTCGTTATGTTCCGAGCTTGATTAAATATCTGCACGTGTGCCCCCGTGCAGAGTCGACGGCTGACTGGCCGGCCAATGCCAAGACAATAGTTCAGACGCGTAAGGACTTGTGACATAGAACGCAGCGTAGGGCGCCGACTGCGCAGACGCACGACTAATCAGATCCGAGCTTGTCGCGTGGTCGCGCCCGCGCCTGCCCTTATTAAGCAAGACCTAAGGAAACTATCTCGAAACGTGCTTGCTGTATTGTTAAACAATCATTGCACACTGAATTATCTAAAAAATATTTTCTCAAATTGAATTCACGTGCGTCATACGAAAACGGGGAAATTGCTTCTTGGGTATATCCATTCATTCGATTATTATCTTTAGTACGTGTTATAAATTCGTAAATATAAAAACAAAATACTTAATTAATCGGTACTATTTATAGGTTGAATAAATAATTTAAATTACATGTATTTGGCTGTTTGATATCTGCTAATAAATATCATTCATTTAACTACCAACTGGGATGGAAATAAACTCGAGACAAACACATTTAAGTAGTGTTTTTAATGAACCAGTTTTCATATTAAAAAGTCGACCATAATAAATATATAAAAGACAATTTGGTTAAAGAGATAAACCAATCCAGTTGATAATTTAAGGGACCGAATAATAAAACAGTACTTAAAAAGTAGTAAATGAATTAGTGTTGAATCAGATGCTACGCTGACGGAATGCACGCTGACACGACACGCTATTAGATCATTACTCTAAGCGATACCATCCGGCCGGCATTGACAATCGACCAATTGACTCGTGAACCGTCCGTATCACTGCACTCCTATCCCAAGAGACATGGCAAAAGAAGAAGTCGAAATTCGATTTAAATCTTTAAATGTTAACGTTAGAAAGCAAATTACTTATAATTTGTATTAATTTTGTAAGATATTTATATCATCCAATTCATTTCCACAAACAAAACTTTTCATTATTAAGATTAAAAATTCTTGTCATGATCTAAAAGCTATCTGTTTGCTTTGAGTCACGGTCTTACAGAGGATTCTTTAGATATTCCATATCAATGGCTCTATATGAGGTCACATTGATAACGCGTTTATAGATGTGATTTCAGCGAGATTTAGTCCTTCGGCCTTCTGGAGAACAAAAAATAGTACAACAGTCCTTTCTTGTCTTTTTATCCGACCAAAGTAAGGGTTACTATACTTGTTTACTTGAGTTTTAATTAAACCCCTTGAAAGAGCGTATCTTTAAAAGAGACTTATGTTTTATTTACTCAGTATATCCATATTATGCAATGGTATGCTTTCTGAATAATTTTGGTACTTGTGAATAAGTAATTGTTGTATATGGACACTTCACTGGTATTTCCGATGATGCGGTCGATCCTAAAGATAGCGACCCACGTTCACTGACCATAGACGCTCTTTGAATGTAATTACATTGAGTGGACTTATTTATTTGGCTATTAATAAGCAAATATACAATTATATCAAACTAAAAATATACTTTGAACCATTTTTTTTAATAGTAATGGCCCTAAAATAAAGCTCTACTAAAAGCACCCTTAACACGTTGAAACTTTGACGAGGTTGGAAATTGTCGCTTAAATTTTTGGTTGTGGTATACAATAGTGTGGGAAAATCTACTAACTGCTGCTTCATTTCCCATTTATTATATGGCCATTCTCATGTCTAATGTATTCATCGCGACATTTGTAAACAAATTCAGTTCTACATTGACAATGACAGATTGTTTGTTACATAATTGCGTGTTGTTGTTTTTAGTACTTATAGTATTATTAAAAGTAATTTATGCTTCTTAACACATATAGGAAATATTTTTTGGTGAATCTTATGCATGTACAACAAAGTTTATTAGTATCTTGGTCCAAATTAGGTTTACAGACATAAAATATACAGAATAAAATCTAACAATATTGGTCAACAGCGTCACAAACAATTAAGTTTCGACTTTTTCACCAGTTTTTAGTATTTGCTATCCCTGTTACAAATCGCCTGTTAGATTTTCAGCCTACTCTGTAATCATTACAGAATCGAATGTTGTACAATGTAACAAATTGGCACGGGTTATGTAACCGTGAAAGTGTATTGTAATTCATCAAGTTATATTAACGCGTGGATATGTGCCACGCATCACTAGCAAGGCACACTCGTTGTATTATAATTCTGCTCCTCACATGTGAAGGTTGGCTCAGATTCTGATTCGTTGGAAGGTGAAGGCCTCACAGTGAGCGGATTAAGGATTTAGTACACAGGTGTCCAGCTGCACTAGTTTATTACTTATTTACTGTTACTTTGCATACATTATGTTATGTATTACACAGTCACCGCAATAGAATAATTATATTAAACTGACTCACTAATGTTGAATAAATATTTTCAATGCCAAAGGTACTAAATGACACATAAAATGACAAATTTCCTGGATTTTGGTTAAATAAATAAAAACATTGTTTTCCTGGTTACATAAAATTGAATCACAGTAAATACTCTCAATTAGATATGAGTCATGATTTGTCTGTCGGTATAAGTATTAATACCGAATAATAATATTTTCATAATGAAAAACATATTGTCCTGATCCTCTACCCGCTGGCTTCGTGGTCTGACTGCAACTTACAAATTAGTAATGATGACAATTCATTTAGATGCTTCCGCTACGTGATTGTTTTCCTTCGCCGTTCGTTACTTAACACGTTAAATCATGTTGCAGGTCGATATTACAGAATGTTCCAGTAAAGGGTGACGTCATAAAATAATGTTAAGAATAATTTTGTCTCCTGAAGTTCCACCTTTGGGTCAAGCAGTATTCAGATACTTAACTTGAGAAAAGTAGATGAACTATAACTGCATTTTTATTTGCATCTCTAGGGCGCAACACCCTTACCTAATGTTTCCAAGTTATATATTTAAGACTTTGACTGCCAATAAAAAACTGTTGAAGGTAAATCCTCCGCTAACGCCGGTCACCGGTGACCCCTATGGCGTTTAATGTGTTAAAGACCAATATAATATAAAATAGCAATACAAAATATTAACTTAAACTCTTCCTATACTCAGATGTCACATGATCACACCGTTCTTATAAAATATAATGTTTTTGTTACAGTTAACAGACATAGTGAACGCTATGTCGACGCGCGGCGAGCTGCCTCTAGAGTTGGCTCTCCGGGGGCGAAGCTCCTCGATAGCCACGACATTGCTGCAGCACTGCGCGGATGCCGATGCGAGGGGCCCGCGTGGTCGCACTCTGCTGCACCGCGCCGTCGACTCCAGAGACGCCTTCTCCGCCAAATTCCTCGTCGATAATGGCGCTGATCCTAATCTAACCACCAAGTTAGTGACTGTGCATTTAATGTATCATATGCTAAGAATAAGCACTGTCTCGCCTTCTTGCGATCTGTTTAAATAAACTTGTTACCATAACTATATGTGCATTCAAGTTTATGACAGCTATGGATGATTACTGCATATTAACTGAGTGATCGATATCGAGCATGATTTCATTGTACGTTTCTCTTTGTTCAGAGAAGAGGGTGACACTGCGCTACATTTGATAGCATCACTCACGTCCAGTTCATGTGACGAAGAAACCATGGAGCAGATGGCTGAAATCGCTGAAGTGATGGTACAAAAAGGAGCTGATATCAACAGACAAAATAGAAAGGGATAGTAAGTACCGTGCAAACGTAACTCTTCTTTATAGCCTGCCAGAGCCAGACAGTCTTCCGCATGCGTCGCGCGTACATCAATTACGCGCATATTTAGTGAACGTGTCACATACACCTGAGTAATGCTCGCCCTTTTTGAACTTGATTTAATGGCCTTCGGCCAAATCAGTTTTAATACTACGCCCTTATGTCAGTCCAAGTGTTGTAAATTAATATCTTTTTATAGCACTCCCCTACATCAAGCAGTGATAGCTAGAAACCAAAGGATATTCGACATACTTCTCAAGCAGCCAACGTTAGATACCAATTTACGGACTTTAAGTGACGAGCATCCGCCTCTGTACTACGCACTAGTGGACGACAGGAGGGCGTCTATATCCTCCAGCGAGACTTTAGTAATGAATGGTTCCAACCCCTTCGATACGCCAGTAACGAATAAAAACGCCTTCACCGAAGACCCTGTGGAGGGCAAAACAGAAAGTGTAGTTGAGAGAGGGTTCGCAGCCAAACTATTGGAGAAAGGTTGTCAGCCGAACCCGCTGTATTCGGGGGCTGGAGACAGTCTATTACATATTCTTGCTCAAGGATGGTTCGAGGTAAGCCAAAATCTATCGAAAAATAAGTCTTACATAAATGAAATTTTTCGACTCTTAATCTCTTTTATGTCGGTATTTAAGTCACAATAAAACACGCATTGTATTTCGCGTAGATCTACGCTCCGATATACTAGAGGTTAAAGCAATTTGTATACAAATGGATTATTATTATCGCAAGGAATCAGCAGTGTTCTTGGTGTCTCACCTGAACGGTGAGTTGAACCACAGTAACGAGGCAGGCATGAGTGCGCTCCACGCGGCCTGCGCTAACGGACTCGCGCGACTGACTGCCACTCTGCTGGAACATGGTGCCAGGCCTAACTTGCAGACTGCGTATGGAGAGCAAGAGGACACTGTCTATAGGTAATATTCATGAGTTTTATAGCTCTTGCGGGACAAATTAAATTACACCTACTCATGTAACTGTTGGATAATTAAAGTATCATATTCAAGAGCAACAAACGACGCGACAATTGATTTCATTTTAAACCTGTCTCCAGACAAACGCCGCTACACTTGGCAGTACTGAACAACCACGAGGGAGCAGTACTGGCCATCATAGAACATAAGAAGCTGATAGAGAAGGGCGACATGCCCGCCACCGACCGCAGTAACACTAGCCTTACACCCAACCTTAACTTGAAGAACTCTGAAGGAGACACACCGGTCAGCTTGGCGCTCACTGAAGGTAAGGTAACTTTATAAATACGTGTGAACCAAAATTTCCAATACTTTATCTAGAAATACAACAGAGTTGTTTAATCGAATTCAATTTTAACATTTAGATCTACGTTCTATTAATTTATATGGCGAAACAGTTTAAAACTATTTGATGTAATGCATATTGCATACGATCTGACTTATTTGGTTCTGATTGATGAAATACTAGAACAGAAAGCAAAGATGAATTAATTATAAAGGAAGTTAATAAACTACTTACTTTTTATTACAAATTCGTGACTATAATAATTATAAATATTGTATGGAATATTATCACTAAACTCATAAAGCCACAAAAAATACCACATACAAGTTGTAAGTAAAACTTCTTGCAAATAAAAATAGTGTAATACGTAATTGAACCGTACCTAATATCATTATTTCAGGTCACAAAAACTTAGTGGCGCCGTTGATCGAAGGCGGTGCGGACCCTAACATTAGGAATGGCAAAGGATTCACACTGTTACATCAAGCTATTGTAGAAGAGGACTCTAGAACAGCTATATACCTGCTCGACCATGGAGCTGATATGAATGCACTGTAAGTATACTAGCATAGTATTGCTCGTTGTAGTTGTATCTACTGTAGATACTGCAGAAGTTGCTGCGGTTGTGGGATGGAGTGGCGGGCTAGTCCCATTAAAAAAAAAGTTATCGTTTAAATTACCTGCCCCACACAGCCCGCCCTTATCAACATAAAGTGATATGCGATTATCTCATGTCGCAAAACGAAAGCTCTATATAATGTTTATACGGTGTCCACCAGCACGGAGGCAGGCGAGACTCCCCTGCAGCTAGCGATCCACTGCCGGCTGGGGCTGGTCGTGGAGGCGCTGTGTGTGCGCGGCGTGGACATGAGTCGACTCGACGCCAACGGGGTGCCGCCACTATGGGCCGCGCTCGACTCCGGCCAGGAGGAAGTCGCTAGCGTAAGTACTTTGTACAATATGTCTTAAAATAGTATAGGTAAAACTTGAGAAGAAATGTATTGGTTTTAGAAGTCCAGGAATGGTTTAAAAAATGAATCCAGGAATGCATTAAAGTGATTTGAATTTGAAAAAAATGTAACCATTCTTGGATTTGACCAGATGAAGAAATATGGAAAAATTGTGCTTGGCACGTTGGGTACGCAGTACCTCATGGTCTTAAGGTTTTAAGTGACAGTTATAAAAGACGGTAGATATAAGAAATATCCATATCACAATATTTAGCAGTCACAGACACAATACATAAGTGATAAAGTCAGTTCAATCCAACGTAATTTATTTCAACTTGTTTTAACAAATCGAGTATTCTTGGTGAGATGATACAAATACATTAATAATAGTTTTATATTTAAATAAAAAATACTTTAAGAGGAAATTATCCATTTATATATGTAGGTATTGGTCAGTTTCCTGTTATGCACTGTCTGGTTGATAGCTTTTATATTGGAAATTCCAAAATGCAACAGGTAAATGAATTAATTTTTAAAAGAATTTAAAGTATTTTGTTTATGTTTAGATCCTGGTGAGAAACGGTGCGGACGCAGACTGTTGGGGACCAGGCCCTGATGGATGCATACAGACGTTGTTACACAAGTGAGACATAATCATTAATCAATAATCATTATAACAACAATTTGTCTGAGTGCATGTAGTGATGTATAAATAATACTGTAGAGAAAAAGATTAAGGTAAACTCGCTTTCTGTTCCTTAAAAGCGTCGCAGGTTATGTTATGAGTCTCCTGTAAACAAAAATACTTTGTTCGACTCGAGTGAATTCAAGACCTAACTCGACTTAACCTACGAGGCAGTTTAGAATCTCTATTTAATACTACAAACAAACTCTATGAAGCCATCTCCTAAAAGTTATGCTTACTTTTACATCACACAATTATGTACAATCCTACTGTTTATTTGAATAGAGCAATAGACGAGAACAAGGAGTCGCTAGCGATGTTCCTGATCCGGTCGGGGTGCGACGTGGAGTCCCCGCGCCGGCTGGGTCCGGCCGGCGAGGGCGCTGAGGTCGCCAACGAGAAACATTCCCCACTACATCTCTGTTGTACTTGGGGACTTACTGATGTTATACAGGTATTCTATTGTTGACATTCAAAAATAAACGTTCAACAATATTTGCGCCCCTTGCGGAACTTTCTGGCGCGACCTACCATATTGCCTTACAGCAGGTACAACTCTAGTATTATAAAGAATGCTCGAAAATTTACCGACATACCATCACACCTTTTATCCCCGATGGGGTAGGCAGAGGTGCACATTACGGCACCTGCCACACCCACTTTACATTATTTATGTTGTGAATCCCATGTAATAGGGGTGAGCCTATTGCCATATACCGCGCATAACTCCAGACTCCGTGCTACTACTGAGATTATTTTTTACAAACCACAATACTGCCCAGTAACCCAGTAATAAAAATGGCCGACTGCCCCAGTAATCGCTCCTCACCGACCCTAACTCGTTTAACAAACGTAGTAAGATGTAATGTCTATTGTCTAGTATGTTTACCAATTACCTACGTCATATTAATCCCTAGCTTAATAAAGCATTCTTTAATAAAATAATTATCACCTTTATCCGACAGACCCTCTTAGAACATGGCGCAAACATAAACTCTAAGGACGCGGAAGGCAAGACGCCCCTTCATATAGCGATTGAGAACCAACACGCCGGTATCATCACACTGCTACTGTCACAACCCGGAATCGAACTGTCCGCAAGGGATAACAAGGGAGTGTCGCCCTTCGCGGCCGCGCTTACAGCCAGGAACAATAAGGCAGCTCAAGCTATATTGGAGAAGAATCCTTCAGCTGCTGAACAGGTGAGTGTTTTTAGTACTGGCTTGATGTGCTTGTTTACGATATAAGTAGCCCGTGGCAGTCCACTTCTGTACTATCCGTCTCGTCTTCATACATGCTATAACCTCCACAGTTGACAGGCGAGTTGGAATGTTCTGTATCAGTTCATTAGATTTGCCTATGACTCATATTATAATGCTTATACATAACCGGAATATTTATCAAATGATTGTAAATATTATTATTATTATTTCGTAGGTGGACAAAAAAGGTCGTAACTTCCTCCACGTGGCGATACAAACATGCGACGTGGAGAGCGTGATGTTCCTCCTGTCGGTGGAGGTGGACGTCAACTCGCGCGTCCAGGACGCGACACTAGCGCCACCACTCCACCTCGCGGCCGCCACCGGACACGAGGTGCTGCTGCGGAGTCTGCTACTGGCTGGGGCCCGGCCTAACGACAGGGATGCGCACAAGTATGACACTTACGCTTCAGTTATTATAGTTTATTTTGATTTTGGGTGGCGCGGATTATTTTTTATCAGGTGATCCGTTTGCTCGTTTGCGCCCCTATGACAAAGTGTTTGTCTTCTTTGATTAATTTATTGTCATTATAGAAGTTGTTAAATGATTGCCTAATATATGTTACCTAAACAGACTGCAGTCCAAACCCATGTTTCGTGAATGACTATCTACAGGAGATTTATGGGTAATCTTTTAAATTGAATAATATGTGTGTCGGTTGTCAGACGCACCGCGCTGCACGTGGCGGCGGGCGCGGGCCACGAGGCCATGGTGAGCGCGCTGGTGTCGGGCGGCGCGGAGTGGGCCGCCGTGGACGCGGCCGGCGACAACGCGCTGCACGTGGCCGCGCGCGACGGACACGCCGCCGCCGCGCGCGCCCTGCTCGCCGACACCGACATCGACGCCGCCGCTACCAACCTCAAGGGTACGCCGTCATTGTCAGCGCTCACATTTCTACTGCTGAGTCAACACCTCTTCTTCTTAGGGTGTGTCCACATCAGGCGAATGTGCAGCTCGCGAGCCATTTGCGATCTGCACGTGTGCATTTAAAATGATTATTTATAGGAGCCTTGCATGTTGCACTAAAGAGATGCCCCAAACCATTGCCGTGACTGCACGCGCGCAGTTCGCAAACGCAAACGGCTCGCGAGCTGCACATTCACGGCACATTCGCCAGATGTGGACGCACCCTTAAAAGTCCATCGGAAGAGGTTTGTCATAATTCCATAGACTTGACAGACTTAGAGATAGCAAAATTTTAGAATCCCTTGGATGTAGTCACAATTTTAGACCGAGTGACGAATTCGTAGGTATGTACGTATTGTAAATTCTGACTATTCTTGTTTCCAAACTTTCGAATAAACCATAATTCACCCTAAATTATCTCATCAGGTAGAAACCCATTGCACGAATTATGCTGGTGTAAAAAGGACAACGCAGCGACAATCTGCGAAATATTCCTTGAATTTATGCCTGACTACCCAATCAACAGGACTGATTTACAGGTACGTTGTTTTTATCAACTCACATCATCAGAAGTGCTAAAAATGAATAAGGTCTGGGCTGACCGATAGAATATTTGCTTATTTATATATTTGTATAATTTTTCCACTTGTATAATCATCACGATATTATTATCCAGGGTAACACTCCGCTCCTATTAGCATACATGAACGGTCAGGGCGCGATGTGCAGAGTCCTAGTGCGGGCCGGTGCATGTCTAGCGCAAGAGAATAAAGAAGGAATATCTATATTCAATTACCAAGTAAGCAGCACTTAATATCCGTACGATAATATTATGGCAGAATGAGCTACACACATGAAATAACTTTCGTTCAGGTGGCTACGAAACAGTTACTGCATCGCCTTCTAGACGTGTTGCCGGCCGAGGCGCCCTGGGCGGAGAGCGATCTGTGCCAAGAGTGCGGCACTAAGTTCACGCTCACCATGAGGAAACACCACTGGTATGATATAATATACATAATAATATATCATTTAAGTTAGGGCTGTACAAACAAAGGCCTGCGGGTCGCATGTGGCCCGCGGCTTGTTTTCATGTGGCCTATGACACATTTTAATCTCAACATCTCCATGTTATGTGCAAAAACAATAATAAAATGTGTATGATTTGTATACAAGTTTAGTCTGTGAGTAAAGAATACAATGTTAAACGTCATTATAAAACTGAAAATATTTTTCTGGCCCTCCAGCTTTTGTAAGAAATTTAATTAGCCCGCGAGGGTATATAGTTTGGACAGCCCTAATTTAAGTTATCTGTCATAAATGTGTTTTATAGTAAAACTGCACCTCTACTTTTTTATAAAAAATATGTTGTTTCCCCAGTCGTCATTGCGGCCGCATGCTCTGTAACAAGTGTTCCAGTCAAGATGTACCGATCCTCAAGTTCGGTATGAACAAGCCACAGCGGGTCTGCGAGATCTGCTTCAACGTGCTGCAGGTCGGCGCGAGTTAGTGACTGGAACGTACGGCAGCCGAACATTTCGTACAGCGTCTGTGCGTTGATCCGATCTCTATTGCTCCCTTCGACTTATTGACGCGCGTGTTCGTTGGCCACATTTCATCACAAGAGCAAATGTATTCAATGTAACTCGTGCGATCACGTCGGCTATCCTGGTACATGTCGGTTCTGTAAGAGAACCCACATGTTTAACAATCAGTGGTATATAGTACCTACTCTACAATCTACCCGAGTCATCTAATTATAAAAGGATTTTATAAATTATATTGCAGTCATAGGACCGTGACTACAATAGCTCTTATATCGTTAGCCTACAGAGGCTAGACCGTTTCTCCCAGCTTCTAGTTGGTAACTTATATAATTTCCCAATATTGTAAATCTTAGTATTTAACTGTATGTATAAATATTTACATAATGCCTACGCCTTTTGACTCAATAAATGACATTTAACGTAAGTCACAGACAGCGTGATTTCTTGTCTGTTAAGGTTTAGATAGCAATATGTTATTTTGTACTAAAACATTGATATGATGTTCAATGTGATTTAGTTAAGCTTGAAAGGTCACAGTTAAAGTTCGGAGTATACTATGTAATGCCTAGAATGTAATTTTTACAAGCCAAGAGCGCGTCCATTAGTTGATAATATAACGAGAACATAAATTTGCTTATAATAGTGCCTCTACACTTATTACACGACACATGTTTAGGCTTCTTTTACTAAATTATACCAAAGTTTTCTATGCTTTCGTTTCCGACATTTCTAGCTTTAATAATTATAATATTGATTTATATTATATTGTTAAATATTATTGTTTAAATTTTATATATGTCACACATGAGTTTTTTTGGTTATTTAATTAAGAAAAAAAAAATATCTATTTGAAAATCAATTTTTGGAAAATAAAACGCTAGGTATGTCAGTCACTGTTTCGTGATGGGCATGATATTTATATTGGTTTCCTATTTTACATGTGATCATTATAAATACATTATCTTGTTCATAAACACAAAACTATGAACCAACTTTAGTCATAAAATATTTTGACTGTTTATGAGTAGGATGATTTTACTTTATAAAAACATGTAAGCATTTCATACTTTTAAAGTCAATTTTAATTACTTTAGCTGTAGGGATTTTATAGAAACTGAAATGTATTCTTTTATTGCATAGAATAAGATAAGTACGTAATAAACATTTACATTTTGTAAAGGTCATATTTGATAATATTTGGCATTTGTATTGACATTCCGATTATTGTGCACAGGTTTATGGAAATACACTCTGTATCAATGTTATTAAAATACTTTTTTATTTTATTGAGTGCCATTTTACTTGTGATGTTCCAAAACTAAAATTCTTATTGAGATTTATTTTTTTATTATGTTTTTTACGAAATCATTATTTCTGTTTCGAAATTTTATCATTAATTAATAAAAATTATATTTAATTATGTATTTTTATTGCTTATAATAGAAAAAAAGTAAATAAAAGGCAAGTATTAATGGCAATTATTTATTTACAAATAAACAATAAACTTCAACTCTGCGATCTCCACACTTGGTACATAAATAAATTTGCTAAAACTACATCTACCCTTTGTACCAAAGTATACTATAACAGCACATAATAATTATGTTACATAACATAAGAATGGTAGTTTGGATGGCAGTTCAGGGTAGAAAATTAAAATTAAATTACTTTAGCCTTTTGAAGAGGTCCTTTGTCACGCAGTGATCAAGGACATGCAGATAGTCAATGAGCTCCTCCTCACAGGTCTCTGTAGTCTGGGAGCGGGAATTGACACGGTCATTGCACTCCTGGTACTTAGACCAGAGGTTCTGCGCGTCAGACTTCTGTGAGCACACCTCCTGTAATGACAAAAATATGTTAAATACTTGCAACATGATTGTATATTACTATTCAAAACGAGAGTACTAAAAATTATTCTATTAATACATATTTGATTTGATTCATGTCTGACACTAACATTTACAATGTAGAAATGTAACTAATTTATATTTAAATAATACTGTTAGAAAAGTATGTAATATAGCAACAGCTAACCAAATGACATACTAGCAGTAACAACTTTAATGAAATTGAAGTTAAAAAATAAGAAACCTTATCTTTTTTATATAACAAAATGGTTTCTTGGACACATTTTCAGTCTCTAAAAAAAGGAAAAAAGAAATATTAGATGGCTGAGAGGGAGTTAACAAACAAGGCGGCGGATGCACTGAAGATGAACAGAAGAATAAAAAAAGTTTATGTTATGACCAAAACTGCTGATAGAAAACTATTAAAAAAATAGTCTAGTAACTTAGCCATGTTTTGGCTGACTTCGGCCATGGTATCAGTGCAGGCAATGTGTGTGGAAAAATGTTGGATACTCTCACTGATCATTCATTATATCAACCCTTCACAACTTCCATAGAGCAATGAATCAAAGTACATAATTATGTATCCAGACTCAGGTGCAGAATAACAGATGGACAGCTGGTATCCTGTGTTTTAGTATGGATTTAATTTGCCCACATTGAAAACATGTCTTGATATCATATCAAACTGTTGCGTTGGGTTAGTGGGTTTATAAATGCCTATTTTTCAGTTTGCCAAGTAAATAAGTCTGGTTTCACGTCAGTAAAATCAAACACCCTTGCTAGTTTGCTACATTCTGAACACAGTTTTTAACTAAAACAGTGTAATTGAAGTAATTTTAGGATAACTTTATCAAAAAGATACAATTACCTACCACCAAATAAAATGGTCCCATCACAGTAACAATAATCTTGTGTAATTGGTGTATGCTCAGATATGCTAATTATTGGTTGATTAAAGGTCACATTAATGTTTTTAGCCCACGTTGTTTCTAACAATAAGAGCACATAATGGCTATGATAAATTCTCAAAAAAAAGGATTTAGTCTATTTCCACAAAACGAGGTTATGTTATTAATTTGGAGACAAAAATTAGCACTACTAAATCACATATCTTATGCAATAATTGGAAACAAATATGGTTTAAAATAGTACCCTTAATTGATTCTGGGGATCAACCATTTCTTCTTCCTCAGCCGCTTCCTCCTCGGCCTTGACTACAGGGATAATTTTCTTCTCGGACATCTTGCCTGAAAATTAAATTCACTATATGTCACAACTTTTAACTGATAATAATTTCGAAGTTTTGACAACAGATCACTAATTTTTAATCAAGAAGTAGTGTATTTTACAAAATTTTACCTAAATCGATGATGCAACGACCGATAGCAAGTAAGCAATGTTGCTAGGTGCAAAAAATCTTCTTCATGATTTACACATAGAAAAATATTTTAAACACTAACTTCAATATTTTCCTCAGATATGTACAATACCTATTTTTCGATAATTTCATGATTTCAAAATATTAACTTGTCTGTCGATATATAAGACACATTGTGTCTCGCGCGTGTATCTGCTTCCCGACACTTCACAGGAGAAATAGTTAATATTTTGTTTACTTTTTTTATTACATAAAACATATACGTACCATACCATACCATATAACATATCTATAGCAAATTACGCCAATTTTTCTCGTAATTTGCTTACCACCTTATTGCGTTTATAAAATAATCTGAAAGGCCTCGCTACCAATATTATTTGGATATAGCAATATTGAAGTTTAAAAAATACTACAATGACATTATGCAAGGTAACAACCTAACAGGACAAAAATTTGTCCATGAAGTATTGAGATTTTGACGTAAAAATCCTGACACTTATGTAGCTTCAAAATGTATACTTTATGAATAAACATTGTGGTAGAAGAGTCAACTGAAGATTTTTTAATAATGTTTGATAAAATATAAATAAAAATACAGTTAGTTATGTTTTCAATATACTTCAAGTTATTAAATGTGCTGATTGTATCTTAAGTAAAAGGATAGAATGTGAGTATGATTTAATCCACTCGACAGCTTCGAACTGGTCGTCACCATGGAGAGAGCTTGCTGTAGAAAATTATTTTATATTTCAGTTTTGTGGTGTTAACATAGTATATATCTAGTAGCACGAATGGCCATTGAAATAAAAGAGTTTTAAATTTATACAAGTTTTAAAAAGATAAACTACAACTCTGCCACAAATTGAAAACTGGATGATTTTCTAACATATTGTTTTATAAACATTTCAGCATCGAATATGGAAAATAGGTACATTTGTATAATGAATCACTTTCTTACAGGCCTTGGGACCCTCAAATGACACCACCCCTTGTTATTTGAGAACATTTGTTGATTTATTGGCATTGGGTGAGGTTATGTTTTATAAAACAATATTACCGTTTTATGTTGCAGAATGAATGGAGGAATGGAGCATAAAACTCCAGGTCACAATGTGGTGCCTCATAAAGCGCCTAAAAACTATAAATTGCTCATGGACCCTTTCCTTGTGAAGGGAGTTACGGCAAAAGTTTATAGATACGATGGCAATGTTCCTGGCGACGCAACTTATCCACCGGTGCAGTGCAGAGACCCTCGATCGCAGCTTTCAAGGATCTGGAACAGATTAGAGCCAGCAGATCTCCCAGTCCCTAGGTACACATCTAATTTTTTGTAACATTTTGACAAGAATTTTATTTTTATTTAAACAAATAACAATCTAATCAATTAAATTTGATGAATTATAGTGAAAAAGTTGGTTTTGTTAACCTAGTAAGGTACTATCTTGCAATAATAAGCTAAAAATCATGTTTGTATCCCGGTGACATAACCAAGTTAAGAATTACAGTATACAAGCTATTTTAGCATTCACTATGCTTTTTAACTTAAAATTTATATGGAAATACAAGTAGAATTGCAATCAGTGCTAAATTATTAGATAAAATGTAATTTTGGTTATAAACTTCTTTGTTTTTATTATAGGTTTAGTGACAGTGGTACCAACATGACATTTTGTTTTGACATTTCGTGTATTAGCGCCAATTTTAAAATCTCTATGCTAATGGGTAATTTATTTTAATTTTCAGGTTCAAAATAGACAAAAATTATGTAGGAATACCTCCTCAATTGGAAATCACTATAGGAAATTTAAATGACAATATTGATAAAGCATTTCTGGCAGATATGATGAATAAAGTAGGTCCCTATGAAGAATTAACAATATTTTACCATCCAATCACAAACAGGCACTTGGGATTTGCAAGAATAGTGTTTCAAGATGTAAAGTATTCTAAGCTATGTGTAGAAAAATATAACGGGAAATCTGTAATGGGTCAGGTATGTATGAAAATCTTTTTTACTTTTAAGTAAATAAATAAATGTGATTTAAATTGTAAATACTCATAAAATTACTGTTAGAACTATTGACATGGAAGTTGTATCTCAGATTCGTTAAGAAACTCTCGAACCAAGCAGTGATTTGTGCAGAATATTATTATATCCAGTTGCTTTACTGGCTGTTCTTGTGAAATTGTGTTTTTCATTACTAACTTTCTTGGCAATATTCATATTATATTACCTAGAACTTTCAACGCATTAGATAATAAATAAATTTAATTTCCAATATTGCAGGTGCTTGAAGTCTTCCATGATGCTTTTGGTAAGAAATGCCAAGAAATGTTTGAAAATAAGACTGTTGAGAAGAAGCCCCAGCTGGTGGCTCCCCCTATTGTCACCAAGCCTCCAGTCATTATTGAAGAAGTCAGACCAACTAAGACTGACCCCACACTCAGCAAGAGATTAGAAGAAGCTAAAATTACTGAAAAAGTGAGTTGTATTTCCTGTATAAATTATTATTTGATGATTTTCTAAAGTGATACAAATGTTTGAAGTCTTTTGCAACATTGCATTAGAGAAAC